ATGCAGAGATAAATCAGAAATCTAATTTCCAATCACTGTAAATCATGGAGGAGAAATATTTGCTGAAAAACGAAACTTCATCATCAAACAGCTTTGAACCATTTTCAGAAGATTATTTATAAAAGCTAGTAAAATAAAATAAAGACTGGATACAAAAATGTTTGAAGTGTTCGTAGAATTTCTTCACCATGTACTAACCCTCCTAACGTATTGTAATATTCCAAAGTAAAATCGTATTCACAAATTTTTGGTATGCCATCGCATGGCCTTAGGCATTCCTCTGGAGTTGAAAGTTTAATGTTTTGCTCTAAAAATATATAGATTTAATAAAAGGGTCATGATAATTGAATGCTAAAACGGGAATGTCCAGTTTTAATTACAAATACATTGTTTCACAAAAATATGATTTTACTTAATATTATTTTCATTCCAAATAATTGATTGATTGATTGGCCATTTTTTAATATAACTATCTTAATCTTTTTTATTGATATTACTAATTTTTAAATTATATATAATCTATTTTAATTGTTTGATTTGATACAAAAATTATTTTTAGACGTATCAAACAAACTTACTCTTTGTGTCTTTACTTGTTGCCTCTGAGATAAAAAAATAAAAAATAGATGAAACATAAAATTTTTTTAATTTCATATTTCAAAATTAATCAACAAACTTTTAAATCGCTAACAATTAACGCTGTTTTAAACCAACTAAAAAAATATTTGGAATAAAATTAGGTAAATGCTTCTAGCGATATTTTAATCAAGTGTACATGCACACAATTATTTTACTTTTTTGATATTTCTCAGTAATTGGTAATTTAATTTGATAAGCCAATTTAAACAAAAATGTTAAAATGAAGCCTACTTTTAAAAGTTGACAATTGAAAATATTTTTATTTTTTTTGAATAAAAACTTAAAAGTTATACTTGTTTTTATGTACCGTAAACACGGGTGGCTTTGGCTCACTTTCAAACTTCAGCTTAAAATTTTTGTGGTTTTAACAATCATAAACATTAAATTTTGTATACCAAAATTTGAGTCTTGAGTTGCTCTTTCATAATAACTATGTTATAATATTACATAGGGCTGAGTTTCAAAAATAAACATTAAAAACTGGGTGTGCAAAGTTACCCCCTGGTTGCGGGTTACTTTGTCTCACGGTGTTTTTTCAGTATAAAATGAATGTAATATTATATTTTATTTTTATTAGACAAGTGTTAGCAGCGACTTATATCTATTGCAAGGGATTACCAATAAAAAAAATAAAAAATCGACCTGTAGTTAACCAAGGATCATCATTCCAATGGATTGCGCATAATATAGAAATTGTAACGCGTGTATTTCTAAGAGTTTTGCACTGATACGATATATACAATTTTAAAGTGTAATAAATCCCATTTCTTTCTTTAAAACACTGATTTTCCTGTAATATAAACTCAATAGAATCGCTCAATTGACAGGTTTAGACCAACAAATTATAAATGTTAATTTTATCGAGCGCGAAAAGATTTTTCATAAATGGGTTAAAGCCACCCGCGGGGTGCAAAGTCACCCGTATTTACGGTACCCAGAGCGACCTCTAAAATCTACATTCACAATTATTAGCAATTCAAATTTTTGACTCCAAAAAACCTTAATCAAATGCAAAAATATTGATTTAAAAATAAGTTAATCGAAAAACAAATTTTCACTGAGATACTATCAACTTTTGAACTAAGATAACTTTGGTCAAATCTGCATTTTTACTGTGTACCATTAGTCTTGGGACACCCTGTATATATGCATATGTATTAAAACTTATAATATAATTGATAAGTACCCACATAAACCAATAATCTAATCTAATTTTTTATTATCATTAAATAAAAAAAAATGTCTGTAAATACAAAATATGACCCGAGATTAAAATGCAGTTTGAACAGACAGTGTTTATTGTGCATTGGTTGCGATGAAAACGGTTGTGATATTGAATTACTTAGATTTTATTAGTAAAATACCTGTATTTTCTATAAAATAGATAAAATTATGTATCCTAATTAGTTTTTATTGCAATATAACGAGGATTTCTAAGGAACAGACGATAAAACCTATAGGTAAGAATTATTTTGCTGATTTGATTTGGGTTTGTATTGTTACCTAAATATACAGGGTGAGTCTTGAAACTTTGAAATATCTCATTTTACGAAAAAATGTTTAAAATAAAAATTAAATTATTCGAGGGGGGAAATCAATCTATTATTTTATTGCAGATTCGGATCATTCGACTAAAAATAGGTAGATTTTGTCTAAAACATTTTTTCATATTTGTAATAGATGGCGCTGTAATGAAAAAAATCAATTTTGTTCGATTTTTCTTCTGTATACGATTCTTCAATAATTTTTGAATAAAATACTTGGTTTTATTTTTTTAATATATTTATTTATTTCGTTTCAATATTCTGCTAACACTGCTCTGGGATATTCCCAAATCTCTAGATAATTCTCGTGACCTTGCATGAGGATTAGCGGCCGTTGCTGCTAATACATTAATTTCATTATTCCCACCTGTGACTGTTGCTCGACGAACTCTTTTTTTCAGTTCAACACTCCCGTTTGTAGTAAACTGCTTGATTGTACGGTGAAATGAAGTACGTGATCGAATTTTATCCGGAAAACGCTGAGCGTAGATATTAACAGCATCATCAAGATTCCTGCCTGCTTTTCCATAAATCAAAATCAATTCTATTTTTTCTTCCACAAATTGATTATGAATATAACTGCTTAACGAAAGGACCCTGATAGCACAGTTTATTCTAAGAATGTTTTTTAAACCTTCCAGTGAGAATATTCTTAGGATCATGCTATATTACTTCTAGTCATGTTCTAAGAATGTTTTTTAAACCTTCCAGTGAGAATATTCTTAGGATCATTCTATATATCTTCTAGGCATGTTCTAAGAATGTTTTTTAAACCTTCCAGTGAGAATATTCTTAGGATCATCCTATATTTCTTCTAAAGAACATGCTTAAAAGAAATATAGCATAATCCTAAGAATATTCTCACTGGCCTCTAGGCAGGTTCTTAGAAGGTGCAAAGTTTAGTGGTAAAAATTAATCCACTCTAAACATATGCATAGAATGTTGAGAAAGTAATTAGTATTAAATACTAAGTAAAAAACAACCCAAAATATTTTTTATAGTTATTTAACAAAAATACTTTTACTATAGGTATTTTATTTTATGTTAAAAATAAATATTTATTAATTTGTATACCGATTATTTATTTCTGAATTAACATTTTTATGTATAATAATCCTACTATCTTCAACTTCAATCTAATCTGACTTATCCCACAAAATTTTCCAATTTTACTTTTTATGAAATAATGTCATACAACTTATGGTTCAGAGGTCAAATTGTTTATTTAATATTTTTAAATAAATATATATTAATATGTCGCAAATTTTTTTAAGGGCACGACAAATACATTTCACTTTCATATTATGACAGTGAGGCGTATTTGTCGCCTCCTGAAGAATTTTACGAATGTAGAATCCAACATATTAGAACGTGGGTATCTGACATATTTGGAAATATTCTCAAAAGCTTCCTAGAAGCTCCATAAGAAACCTTCTGAGAACATTCCAAAAACGCATTCTTAAAATGTTCTTAGATTGCTTTTTAGGAAGGTTTTAAGAAGCTTCTAAGAATCTACTTGCATCATTAAAAGAGTATCTATTGAATGTTTTAAAAGTCCCTAAGAACATTCTTAGCAATAAGGGAAGGTTCTAAGAATATTCCATTATTCCGAGTCGTACCTTCTTAGAAGATTCTTAGAATCAAATTTTGCTATCAGGGGAGGTCTTTTTGTTTGCAAATTAATCTTCGAACTAAATTTATTAAATAATGCTAAACTATTAATAGTTTCTTTATACCTCAATAATAATTATTATTTATAACTAAATACCATTTTTTTCTCTCAATTAGGATTAAATTAATTAATTGACAAATTAATGTTTTTTTTACCTAAAATGAGGTATTTTTATTTAAAATAGTACAATAATCCTTTAAATTAAAGGATTTAATGCTGGCAGGTAAAAAGTAACCATGTTGTGCAATTGATAATTATCACCAAATTAAATAATAAATAAAACTTAAACCAAAGGAAACTTAAATATTAGTTAAAAATCGTGGGTACTTAAAAATCAGATTTAATTTAATAAGATAATTATTACGAAAAAAGTGATATTTTTATAGAAAAATTATTGCAAAATCGTATACAGAAGAAAAATCGAACAAAATTGATTTTTTTTTCATTACAGCGCCATCTATTACAAATATGAAAAAAAGTTTCAGACAAAATCTACATATTTTTAGTCGATGGATCAGAATCTGCAATAAAAAATTGGAAATTTTAAAGTTACCCCCCTATAAGGAGGAGAGTATGAGGACCAATTTTAGTACTGAAACAATTTAATATTAAGACAAATGGCAATTGCCATTATTAATAATTTTAACATCAAATTTATTTTTCCTTAAAAAAATAAATTTACAAAATAGGCATTCATTGAAATTTGTTTTAAACTACGTAGGTATACGCATGTTTTATATCTTTTAAAAACAAGCAATTCTCTATAAACCTAAAAAAGATATCGAAAATTCCTAAAAACTCGTCATTGCTCGTTTTTAAATAGACACCCTATATGTTTTATATACAGTGTGGTTCTCACTTATGGAAACGCAAAAATCTTATAATTATAATTTTAAATTGTTGGCCCCCACCATTTCCTCCCCCCCACATTATGCACATTTATCCTAAATAACAACCCCACTTTTTTCAACGAAAATTGATACTGCACGTTTTTTCCAAACTTAAAAAAAAAAATCGAATAAAATAAAAATTATTTATTTTAAATATCTAAAAGATTTTATAAAAAAAATCTAATCATGGGTGGCAGCAAATAAAAGAAAATGTATTTTTTAACAACTTTATATACTTTTTTAATTATTTTGTTATTATATAATTAAGTTGGTATCTATGTCGGGAATAAAGTCCCCACACTTCGGAAAGTCTTTAGGGACCGGAGGTAAGTCGGAAAGCTCTCCCACGTGTAATATGACATTCATTCCCATGACCATATGGTATTGGAAATGACAGTGGAAGAACCATAACCCCGGATTGTCAGCTTTCATTCTTAATACTACATAACCACCGCTTGGTACCGTAATCGTATCCTTTTTGGGCCAGTTTTTTGTGCTCATTTTTGAGGCGGTTTTGGTTGGGTCGTAAGGACCTCTGCCCATGTCCATGACATGGAAATAATAGCCATGCATATGAAAGGGATGGTTCAATTCATTAGCAGGGTCTAAAAAAGTACCATTTGTACATTTTTCAATATAAAATGGATGTTATTTTTACCTTCATCTATTAACACAATTTCAGCGATTTGGTTTAGTGGTATATTTATCTTGTGGATACAAGGACATTTTTTCCCGCAATCTTTTGGTTTATTGTTGCAAAACTTATCGGAATCTGTATCCGCATATTGCGATAGGAGAGCGGAACTTGGGGCGTGGTATGAAAAGCCATTTATCGTTGAATATAAATGACGATCATTGATAGATACTAAAATAAATATTGCCAAATATTAAAATCCACATAACAATGCTAAGATAACATATGTTTACCCATAAACGTATTGTAGGTGTTTGGAGTAAACAACTCTTTCAGTTTATAGTCTTGAAATTTGAATGGTAAATGTATTTTTACGTCGGGAGTTTCTTTAATTAGGTTTTCATCTATATCTTCAGCACTTTCCATTTGGGTGATACAGATAGCTTGTTCTCTTTGCAGGTGGCAATCAAAATCTTCAGGATTTAAAACCTTGCAATAACAATACTATAAGTATTATTTAAGCACTTTAAAATTTTTATTTACCTTTCCTTTAGGCAATCCATTATCATATGACGGACGTGTTGATAAGGTCTTAGAACCACCATCATATCTTAGTATTGCCAATTGTTGTATTCTTTCAAATTCACATTCACCCACACCTTTAACCTGTATCCAGTAATCTTTCCTTTCATTTTTTGGATTTATAACAAAGTCGAAACGATGACCTATAAGAAATATAAAATAAACACACAGGTCTAAGTGTAACATCAAAATTCAGAATAAAGACGTTGTATCCTTTGACTAAATAAAGGATTTTATCGATAACCTCATATTTTTTATATGTATACCTGAAGAAGCAACTATGCTATCTACCACCACAGGCTTTATCGGGGCTCCATCGAGAGCCACAACGGTTAGTTCGTGATTTTCTATAAAAAGTTGAACTGCACAAACTGTAACCATTGCGTCAATCATCCTAAATCTGTATCTTTTTCCTTTTTGAACATTAAATATTTCCAAAGGCGTTTTTGTTGAATTTCCAGTTTTCCGGTCGGTGTACTGACCTTTACCGTTAATCAGTATATTATCCGGTAATTGTCCCTTTTTCGTGAAAAGCATACCTGGAAATCTATTGAAATGTTTTATATTTAATAGCAAAAAAGTCAATTTTAAGTAGTTACCTCGATTCAGCATAAGTATGCATTAAATCAGAAATGAACACAACATGATCAGGAAGATCAAAATCATACAACTCATTATTTGGATCTTTGGTCTTTTCTTGTCTCACTACCAAACCACCCCTAATGCCATTAAGGTCTTGGAAACCGGCATGAGAATGCCAAAAATGTGTTCCTGCTGGATCTGCCACCCATTGATACCTAAAAATAAAACAGTCATTTCCTCCCAATTTTACAACCCAATAACTACCCACCTAAAAGAATTCCCTACGGGTATAGGACATTGTGTCACACTAGGTACTCCATCGTAATATGGCGTTCCACGTTGATGCATGCCGTGCCAATGTATAGATGTCTCCATCCCGTCCATTTTGTTTCTTACATTGACAACCACCAAATCTCCTTCACAAACCTGTATGGTAGGGCCTGGTGACATTCTATTAACAGTAAGAATTCCTTTTTCCACACCATCCGCAAAAATGCATGGGTATATTGGTGAGACACTTATGGTGCTGTTTGGTTTGCTTACGTTGCAAGCCCTGAAATGTGTTTTTGTTATTTGCATGCAGAGATAAATCAGAAATCCAATTTCCAATCACTGAAAATCATGGGGGAAAAATATTTGCTGAAAAACGAAACTTCATCATCAAACAGCTTTGAACCATTTTCAGAAGATTATTTATAAAACTGTTCTAAAAGTAAAATAAGATAAAGACTTGATAAAAAAATGTTTGAACTGTTTATAGAATTTCTTCACCATGTACTAACCCTCCTAACGTATTATAATATTCCAATGTAAAATCGTATTCACAAATTTTTGGTATGCCATCGCATGGCCTTAGGCATTCCTCTGGAGTTGAAAGTTTAATGTTTTGCCCTAAAATTTTATAGATTTAATAAAAGGGCCATGATAATTGAATGCTAAAACGGGACTGTCCAGTTTTAATTATAATTTTAGTATACTATATAGTTTACTGTTTCACAAAATAATTTTACTTAAAAATAAGAATAAACTAGGTACCTAGGTACCTAGGTATTAAAAAAAACATTAATTAATGTTTAAATTCCAAATAATTTTTGATAAATATATGGGTTATTCCATGCCAAATCGACCACTTTTAAACCCGACCCCTTTCGAACTGGCCAAAATTTTACATTCTTTTCTACCCTTTGAAAAACATTTTCAAATTGTTTTATCCAACCCAAAAAGTTTTAAATTTTTCAAAAAAATAGGTTTTTTATTTTCAAATAGCCATAACTTTTTAAATTGACCTTTTGGTGTCTTTTTTTTTGAAATTTTTGTTTTTAAATGAATTTTTCGAAAAAATAGACAAAAAAATAAACATGATCAACTCTATCAAATTATCGCTTTTTTAATAAAATTGTTATTTGGACATTTTTTTTTAAACTTCAATTAATGTTACAATTATTCCCTTCAATCCCAGAGTGGGCTGATTTTTTTTTCAATTTTTTTATTTAATTGAAAAAAAATTGTCTAATTTTCAAAAATATTTTTTTTTCACAAACTTTATTTATATAATAAAATAAATGCAATTCAACGATTTTAAGGTATTATATTCTCAATTTATAGGCTTAAGCTACGACTGTAATGACCAAGATTCAAATTTTATTTATTTTATTTATTTATTTATTTTACACAATAGCTAATTCTATGTTAATTTGAATTAATTCTTCCATTCTTCTATTCCATTATTTAATCCTTTTTTTAATTATCATTTATACTTTTCCATTCTAAAAAAATTTTACTACCAAATATCTTCATTTTATTTTTTTAAACCATAAATTTTCATTATATCAATTAGGGTATGATAATTATAGACTTACCTATAGTCAATTTACTAGATGCTATAAGTCTATTCAAATACAAGCTGGACTAAAACAAAACACCCCAGAGTTGATCATGTTAAATTTTTTTGATCTATTTTTTCGAAAAACTCATTTAAAAACAAAAATTTAAAAAAAAAATACCAAAAGGTCAATTTTTGAAAAAGTTATGGCTATCTGAAAATAAAAAACCTAATTTTTTTGAAAAATTTAAAACTTTTTTGGGTTGGATGAAAAAGATATGAAAAAATTTTCAAAAATGTTTTTCAAAGGGTAGAAAATAATGGAAAACTTTTGGCCAAAAGTGGTCGATTTGTCATGCAATACCCTACTGAATGATGGTAATTATATATAATCTACTGATCAGTAGTAGGTACCTACTAATAATATTTTAATTTATTTTATTTTTTTATATAAAAAAAAACTATTTTTAGACGTATCAAACAAACTTACTCTTTATATCTTCACTTGTTGCCTCCAATATAAAAACATAAAAAATAGACAAAACATTAAATTTCATGTTTTAAAATTAATCAACAAACTTTTAAATCGCTAACAATTAACCGAGAGGTAAACCACTGATTTTTTTAAATTAAAAATCCCATCTTATACGAATTAACGGCCTCGGAAAACAATCATGCGCAATACGTCGCTAAGAGAAATTTCTTATTGATAAGAATTTGATTGATAAGAATTTTTTCTTATCAACTTTTGAACCAAGCTAAGTTTGGTCAAATCGTAATATTTTTACCTAAGTATACTTATAATCAGCAGTTTTACTTTGTACCATTAGTTATGAGATACCCTGTATATATATATATATATGCATATCTATTATGCACCCTGTATTTGCATATCTATTATAACTATAATAATTATTGGCTTATTAGTTTAATTTAATTTATTATTGTCATTAAAAAAGTGTCTGCAAATAAAATATAAAACTTTACCCAAGATTAAAATTGTGTATTCGCGATGAAAACGGTTTTAATATTGAATTACTTGGATTTTATTAGTAAAAGTCCTATATTTTCCATAAAATAGATAAAGTTATGTCTCCTAATTAGTTACAATTAATTACAATAAGACGAGGATTTCTAAAAAAACAGCCGATAAAACATAAAAGAAATAATTATTTGTCTGATTTTATTTGTATTTTCTCCTAAATATTTATAAATATATAAACAAAAAATTTAATCTTTTCCCAAAAATTAATATTTATATACTGTGAATGGCAACACTGTTAAACAGTTAGTCGACGGGGAATCCCCTGAGTAATAAAGTATGCATTGGATCGTCTGACAATGTTGCCAGGTCTGGTAAAAATTCACCAGATTTGGTGACTTTTAATTCAGTTCGTGCTTAAGTGAAAACTTTTCTAAAAGCCTTATTTCTGGTGAGAGCTGAAATGAGCATGGTTGACACATGATTTTTTTTTATTAAGGTAAATAAAATATAACTAATCTTCCAAGATTAATTATATTTTATTGAATTTTATTTTTTAGATTATTTATTTATACAATTCGTCACCTGAGAATTACTTATAGTGTTCTTTCTGCATTTTTTTTAATGCAGATAGAACACTATAATTCTTTGATTGTTTATATATAAAAGGTTCAAAAAAATGTGTAGGTAGGTATAATAAAAAAACCGTTGCAACTTGCAACGCGTGGTCAGTGTTGCCAACTAGTGGGATATAACCCAATTTATGGGATCTTTTTAAGTATGATTTTAGATTGGAGATTAGGCTTATATTATTCAAATAACAAACCAACCTTTAAATATTGGTCCCTTAGAGGTATTATATACCCAAATTTAAGCAAAAATGGTGCAACTTTCATTTTTGTTGCCCGCTAAGCATGAAATATCCCGGATTCGTTCAAATCTCCCGCCATTAGCAGGGGTGCCAACCCATTATTTGGAAATATTTATTTAATTCGCTCAATCCTGAATTTTTAAGGATTTCGGATATGTAATAGCACATATTCATATGTGGTTATAAGTAATATTCTATTCTATTAATAATAATAATGAACTAGAAGGAGAAACTCGCTTTGAATGGATTGCATTGTAACCCCACCTTTTGTGTTGTGTTGGCAACATGACGTTTTAATACAATGCAATGTTTGCAATCCCATACTGTGATTAAAAATATGTTAATTTTATGTTTACAGTGTCCCTAAGGGAAGCAGATGGTCCAAGTACAAAATAGAGTGAAAAAGTATCGAATCGAAGATAATGCGTGTCATGAGTGCTGTGCTACTTAAAGAAAAGACATTACCTTTAAAAACGAATTAAAAAAAATACTTGTGTGGACTGTCAATAATTTGTGATAAAAATGCTGAAAAAGGGTGGAATTGTTTTGTGGAAGCACTACCTCATAAGAAAACGACACTGGTTCTTAACTTTAATCGAAGTTATATTGCCAGTTTTAATTTTTCTGATTGTTGCATACTGTCGAGCAAAATTAGCAGTAATAAAAAAGATTGAAGTTCCTGCAGAAGTACATTTACCGTCAAGTTTAATCAACTTGGATACCCAACTAACAAAGATCTTGTACAGTCCCTCGAACAATGTCACCGATGATATTATACATCGAGTTCAAGAAAAACTTGAGTTTCCAACCAGCAGTAAGTTAAAGTCCCTAAACTGTGATTCAGACTGTATTTTTTGCTTTATAGATGTTTTTTCATTTCCCAATGAAGACGATTTGGTTGATTTTTATGTGCAGGACAATATTGTGAGGGCTATAGGGATAATTTTTGAAGAATGGGAAAGCCCTAAATTTAAATACACTTTAAGGGTTCATGAAGAATCGGCCTTTTGGAATAATGACAAGTTATTTTCGTCTGAAGTCTTTAATGGTAAATATTTTTATTATATTTTAAAAACAATAAATCACAGTTTTTTTAGATTATCAACAAATTCCCTATATATCAACTGGATTTTTGACAGTACAACAAGCCTTAGATAATGTGTTCATTGAAAAAAATTCCAATAAAACTATTGAGTTGAATATTAACCTAAAAGGGGTACCATTTCCACCCCGTATTAGGGATGTGGGTGTTACAACACTTTATAGCAGTATTTTGCCCTATGTTACCATATTTAGTTTTCTATTAATTATCCCAGCCATAGTACAAAGGGTGGTGGAAGAGAAAAAAAGCGGAATCAAGGTAATAACATTTATTTTTTTATTTTATTACTTATATTTTAGTACCTCGATTTTAAATACAGTCATTAAAATAGCAATGGAAATATTTGGTTTTTTAACAGTCAAGGTTACACAAACAATACAATTGGTAATTTAACATTAACAGTACAAAAATTCAGTCATTTAGGTTCCATTATATTTTTTTAGTTGTTAGCCAAATATTTTTGTAATTACAGGTGGAAAACTTATCATATGATAACTTATCATCATTACTGCCATTTAAATACCAAAATTACTAATTATATAGTTTTTGTTTTAACATTAATAGTGTATTATAAAAATAAAAATTTAATTTTAATTTTAAGAATAAATTAATAATTAAGATTTTTTTCAAACAAATAAAAAAGTTTAACCTGTTGCAATGTTTTCTTAAAATATAGTTTTCTAACAAAAACTAAAGTCTTCAGTTAGTCTTTATTTGGACATAATGGACAAAATTCCAAATGGGCGATTTTGTATATAGAATTCCTGTTTTTTATATATTTTGATAATAATTTATTACTTTATATTTTTTTTTGATATTTTTTAATTTTAAAATCTTTACATTTTTTTGACAGATTGACTTCTAACTTTTTATATTTTAAATCAATAGACTAAATATTAGTTTCACAGGAAAACATCCCTGTATTTTTTCCTAGGAATTATTTTACAATATTGACGATTTAAATATTAGTTTTTCAATGGCTATTTTCTAAAATTGTGCAAACTTGTGCAAATTAAAAATTGATTCACATGTCTAAATATAAAACCTAACCAATTAATTTATTTATTTGGTGGGACATCTGATTTCACTTTAAATATTTAATTTATGAGTCACTCATTTGGTTAATGGCCATTATACAGGGTTTCCTGGGTGTCAATTATAAAGCATTTCAGTTTAAAAAACAGTCATATAAAATGAGATATTTTACTTCATAGAAAGGAAAATATTTGAATAGGTAATTCAGCTAAAGTTGCCAGATATATTTTTTGACAGTTTGTGTCAAAGATATTTTCAATGTTAACTACCGGAAATAAAAAAAACAACTTTAAATTTAAATGATAAGTTTATTTATAGCTCAATATATATTTAAATACGCGCCTTATTTGTAAGGAAATGTGCGTCATCTTTTTAAATTATTTTCTTGGAAATGCTCATTTATCAGATTACAGCCAGGTCAGGATTATTTTTTAGACACGTTTTCGAGAAATTCGTTGTTTTTATTTATTTTTTATCCTAAATGGTTAATTCTTTATAATAAACAATAATGGTTAATTCTTTATAATAAACAATAGACAAATAAAAGGAAATAACAAGAAACCAAGTTAGCGCATTGACCCATAGCTGGCAGAGACCGGATTTTAAGGCAAAAAAACTATTTTTAACATATCTGCTTTTTTGCATAAAAATCCGATCTCTGTGGTATTTAGAGTTTTAGAAGTTTTTAGGCTTTTGTCAGAAAAACATAATTTGTTCACAGCGATCATAAAATCTTTTATTGCAATAAAACATACTTAAAAAATATTTACTAAACCCAAACCCTTTTTTAAATGTACTTAAAATTATGTACTGAAAAGTCATGGAAAAAAATAAAACGCATGTTTATTTTTTATTTTAATTAATGACAAAAATATGCCATTCCCAGGAGCTTCAAAAAATGGTTGGGCTAAAAAGTTGGATGATATGGTTTGGATGGTTCATGCATGGTATGATTCCAGCTCTAGTGTCCATTAGCATAATAACGATCCTAATGAAAGTATCGTTTTGGGGGGCGGAATACCCGCCCATTGAATTTACCAACGGTTTTATCTACTTCATCTTCTTGGTACTGTACTGTATTAGTACCATATTCTTCTGCTTTTTGCTTAGCACCTTTACCAGCAAACGTAGGTTTTTTCTTTGTTTTTTTATTATTGAAAATCCCTTAATTCGATTTATTTTACAGCGACTTTTTCAATGGTTTTCACAATCTTAATATGGATATTTTCGTATTTCATACCAGACAAAATTTTGTTGGCGTATGGGGCGCCGCGATTCCTTAAAATTTGCCTTGGAATATTCCCCAATGTTGCTCTGGATCATGGCTATAAAATTATGCAAAATTTCGAGCAAAAAGGTACGTGAGAAATATTTAACAAAGTACATATGTATCTATGAAATATATCATTGCAGAAATTGGCATACAATGGAGCAATATCTTCGAGTTATCCTTAGGTGGTCAAAACGAAATTTCAATGTTTACTGTATTTATCATTTTCATTGCGGACGTTTTTATTTTTATTTTTTTAACGATGTACATCGACAATATCAACCCAGGATCTTATGGTATACGTCAATCCGTATTTTTCCCCATCAAAAAGATTAAAAAGGTAGGTTAATTATTATAATATATTAATTATTGTGTTTTATTTAAATAGTTCTAAGAAATGTCATATATTAATAATAATAGTTTGCATACAATGTTTATAAATGATTAATATAGCTTATTATTCATTTTATTATCTTTAAAAATAATCATACAAAGCATGAAATGTAATGATTATTATTATCGTTAAAACAACAAAGGTTTTCAGCATATTTTTTTGTGTCGAAAAAAACCGGAAAAATTGGGGAAAAACTTTTTTCCCTTTTTTTTTCAGGCCTTGGAAAAATTGTCTTTTTTGGGAAAATTGTTTTTTTAACATTTGAAAAAGTATCAATCAACATTGTTACTTTTTTCAAATGTGTATATTTAAAAAAAATCAATTCAACAACTTAACAATATTTTAATTAAACAAAAATATCCTTTATTACAAAAAAAATATTGAATTAAATTAAATTGATTTAATCAAATAATCGTATTCGTAAAATATACAGTGGTTTGTGTCTTTTTTGCAAAAAGAAGTTTTTTTTAAATATCCATTTACAAAATTATTATTTTATAAATTAAAGTGTCAAATAAAACGAAAGTTTGTATGTTAATATAGCACCGAATTCGTTTTTTTTGCGGCCCGGTAGAATATTCTTACTTAAAATAAAAGGAATAATTATTATAATCATAATAATATGATTATAACCAGCGTCGGAATTTTTTTTTTTAGAAAAATTGTCTTGCATTTCATTCGTATTACCCTTTGAATAAAATGAAAAAAATGCAAAAATCAAATATTGGGTAACCCAAGTCAAAATTTCAGAAAAAACTGAGCCGGAGGAAAAAATTGGTAAATTTTCAGAAAAATTGATTAACCCAAGTTGCGTTTTTAAATTTCCGGAAAAATTGAGCCGGCGGAAAAAACAACGGATTTTTCCGGATAAAGTCAATTTTTCTGAAAATATCCAAATTTTACGGATAATATTTGTACTCTGAGAGAGAAAAAAGTGAATTTCCGACGCTGATTATAATCACTGCGCGTCAAAATTAGGACATAACAAGTAAAAAAACGCCTTTGCCAATCTTTATTAAATTTTGGATAAAAATACTTTAACTTATATATCAGTTTACGTGTTCAAGGGTTTATCGAGAAAATATCCTTAAAGCCCTTTTATTTAATAATAAAAAACGCTCGAAAAAAAGGGAATTTTTTTTAAGTATTAAAAAATATCCTGTGAAAGACCGTATTTTTGTTAGTAAACCCTGAAAATGTACAAATCAAACGAACAGTAAAATACAGCGCTTCAAAGTCGTCAAAAATGACCATTTTTCAGCAAAATAATAAAAAATGGGTAATTTTTACCGACTTTGAAGCGCTGTATCTTTGTTACTGTTCGTTTGTTTGTACAAAATTTTTAGGGTATACTAACAAAATGCGGTCTTTAACACCATATTTTTAATTTACTAAAGAAATCTATAAAAGTTATTTTTGGAACGTTTTTTTATTATTTAATTAAAGGGCTTTAAAAATATTTTTTTGAAAAACCTCGAACACGTAAACTGAGATATAAGTTGAAGTATTTTTATACAAAATTTCATAAAGATTGGTAAAGGCGTTTTAGAGTTAGATTTTTTTAATTTTTGTGCGTTAATTTTGACGGGCAGTGTATTATGATGAATATAATAATAATTCCTTTTATTTTAATTCAGTGAGATTCTATTTTTTTTTCTACCGGGCCGCAAAAAAACATTTTTGGTGCTGTACACTGAAAAAAATTATTACATTTAAATGTAAAGTTACAGGATTATTACCACATAAATTCCTTATTTTTACGACAAATTGTAAAATTACCTTTATTTTCGTCTAATTTTTATATATTTCAAGTAAATAAACATTTTTGTTTTACTAATTACTAATGTTATGTATTAATTATTGATACAACAAGTAAATTTAAGGAACTAAATGTAAAAAATACAATTATAACTTCTTACTGCATTATTTCAAATGTAAATATACTTTATTAGTCTTAATATTACAGGTTTAAATGTTTTTTTTACATTCGGAGTGTAGTAAAAATCGCAAAATTACATTTCATATGTAACCGCAGAAGAAGCCTATTGGCTGGGAATCGGCATGTTAATGTTATCATGTAAAAATACATTTCATATAAAAAACATATTACATTAAAAATGTTATTTTACATAAAAAATATAAATGAGTTACACGTCAATTATGCTATTACATTTTGCATGTAAAATAATAATGAAATGGAATATTTCAGTTATCAACAAGGCATCAAAATAACCAATCTCCATTACCGGAAATTTACATGATTTTTTTTAGGTATTAATTTTCGTTTTATTTGACACTTCGACTTATAAAATTATAATTTTGTAATTTAATTCATTATTTTGTACCTAATTGTATATTTAACGTTTACTTTTATTTTCTTAAATCAAAATAATTCAATTTAGGATTTTTTTCTGTAATAAAGATTTTTTTGTATAAAAAAAATGCTAAGATGTTGTTTGCTACTTTTTTTAAAACGTAAATTTTTTAACAGAAAAAATCAATTTTTCCCAAAAAAGACAATTTTTCCTAGAACTGGGATAAAAAGAGTTTTTTTTTCAAAATTTTAAAACCCTAATTAGGGGACAAATTGAGGCCAGTCATAGCAAAACCGACAATCTCCACTTTTGGTCAAAAATTAGATTTTTGGCGGAGACTACTTCAACTAATTATCTATAAGATGATAAAGTTTATGTGCTGGAAAAGGAGCTAAATCCTGCCTAAAATCCTATTTTAAAAATGACATTTAGTGCAAAGTCGACAATCTCCACTGATAGATTTGCAGCAAAGTATACAATCTCCAATTTCACCATTAGAAATTAGTAATTTTTGTCACCTGATATCCTAACATTTGATGTTATAACGTGTTTTAGAGATTTAATTTTGTGTTTGGTACATACTGTTAAGTTCTATTGCAGTAAATTGCACTTAAAAAATATATTTAAAATGGGTAAATCTACATTAAGAATTATTAAAATAGTTATCTTGTTTATTTTGTGCTATTATACTATAATAAGACGAAAAGTTAAAGCAAGAAAAGGCTGATAATGTCAATACATTGCAAGTAAAACATTACGGGGCAAAGTGGGAAGGAGATGATGAGTTGTTGTACTATAAAAAAAAATTTGCACGAGGCAACCTGGTCCCAGATTTAGAAGAAACTCCAGATTTATGTGATCCAGTTCAGAATTTTCCCACATTGATTGTATAGTTAAATTTTATAACCATTAAAGGGAGAAAAATACAATTATTTTTTTGTTTATTTTTCTAAATCTTCTTAAACGTTTACAACAAAATGAGCAATCTCCAGCAATTCATATATACTATGCATCCTGTAGACCTTGTAGTTGGCTACTAGACTAACAACAACAATATTTTAATATAATATATAAAAAAAATTACAAATCTAGAATTTAAAACACCAAAATCAATTATCTCAATTTACTCAGTTTTAGTCTGACGGGAGATTGTTGACTTTGCTCTGACAGGCCTCAATTGTTCGTTATAACAGTTTTTCCAAATACAAAAAAAACAACAAATTATCAAAAGTCGACTCGTTATTTGCAGTTGCTTTCGTCGGCAGAAGTGAACGTAGGCAATTCGCGCGTGGAAAAGGGAAAACTGCTAAAGCCCGGCATCCAACTGATAAACCTGTCGAAAAACTTCGGCTCGGTGAAAGCTGTCGACGACATGTCGATGAGCATCGACAAGGACCAGATAACGGTCTTGCTGGGCCACAACGGCGCCGGCAAGACCACCGTCATGCACATGATGACGGGAATGATCGAGGCCACGGAGGGCGCCATTTTGATCGATAATTTGAACGTCAGAACCGACATGGACAAAATCAGGCGGAGCCTGGGGCTGTGCCCGCAGCACAACCTTCTTTTCCAGGACCTGACCGTGCTGGAACATCTCCTGTTTTTCGCAATGGTAAGTGGTCTTGACCTTGGCCAAAACCCTACAAATAAACTTTTTCAATCGTTTCAATTTTAACATTTTAAAATGGAAAATGTTAATGAAGGTATATAGGTATAATTTGATGAAATTATATTTCCGAAAAAAATTAATTTTCTTTGTTAAAATTTTTTTCGATTATTTCACTATGAATAAGTTGAGTCGACTGCACAAACTTGCCCGAAAATTAATAAAACCACAATAAACAATTATTTTCGTAAATGATTTATTTAGAGATGGGAAAATTCCCATTTGACGAAAATTCCCGGAAACTTTCCATCGAAAATTCCCGAAAGTTTCAAAAAAAAAATTTATTGCGAAAATATATAACACATTAACTTTTTGTCAAATTTAATTAAGAAAAAAATGTAACTGCAATACTATTTTTAGTATCTTTTACTTTGGAATATTCCTATTGTATACTGAAACCTACAAAATAAAAATAAAATGTTTACTATTAGAAATTCACTGCTAGTAAATCCTAGATATTATGTAAAAAAATTAAAAGGAACAAAGTAACTAATATATAGGAATATTGAAAAGTAAAAGATAATAAAAATAGTATTGCAGTTCTGACTGATAAAATATGAAAGAAAAAACTACAGGCAAAATAAAATTAACATTAACTAGTAGTGACTACTATTACACATAAAAAAATAGCAAAAGTAAAAAAACACAAAATAGGATTTTTTTAAAACCAAACAAGCCATATGTCAAAATATGTGGATATTTTTCTTGAATTATAGCCCACGAACCTTTCATAGCCGCAGCATTATCTGTTACAATGCCTGAAATTTTTCTGGGGCCAATTTGTTTTATTTCTTAAAACCAAACAGGTAAATAAAAGTGTTATTGCTGTATTTTAAATTTATCTAAGATTTGTGGTCTCTCTTCTTGACTCTCAGTAGAATTAAAATTTTGTATGGATAATCTTACTTCTTGTGGGGCACAAAAACACTTTTTTATATGTTGGACCATTTTGGTTGCATTAACGACATAGATTTTCTTACAGAACTTGCATTGAACATGGTCTTTTTTGCACTATTTTGTAATAATTCCAAACACTAGATTTTTCTCTTGGCATTGTACTAAAAGATCAAAAGCTGACAAAAATGTAAGAATGATTTTAACTTTGTTTATTGTTTTTATTTTGTTTACCTTTTTTTAAAAAAGTTTTTTAATCCGGCTTCATTGAGGTTATGTAACATAACTTACATTATTTATACTTCTTCTTCAGCTTTAAATTAACACACATTAAATTCTTATTCAAAGTTTCTTGGCCTTGTATCATGGCCTTAACGAAAATCATCGGTTAAACAATTGACATTTAAATGAAAAAAACAAGGAAAGTTTCCAAGGAATGTTTCCGGTAGCTTAAAAGAAACTTTCAAAATGATATAAATTCCCAATTGGAAACTTTCCAAAACGGAAAGTTTCCTTAAAATGGAAACTTTCCGACTTCCATCTCTAATTATTATATTCACTCTTCGTGTCAACAAGTCGCTTCAATTGACCATATGCAAGGAATGCGGTCGATGTTGCCAATGGTAAAAAAATAAAATTTCCTATTGGGAACATTCAATTATAATACGTTGGCTACACTCAAATTTTGAATTTCCCGCACAAACTGACATAAATTCTAGTAGTTCCCAGAGATAAAGAAGGTAGTTCCAATGTTGTATAATAAATTAAGGTGCTAATTTCAAGTATGGCAATTATTATTATTTAGTATTATTAAAAAAAAAGATGGAAATTAATTTAGTTTGTGCGGGAAATTCAAATTTTCAATGTAGCCAACGTAATATAATTGAATGTTCCCAATAGGGAATTATATTTTTTTACTATTGGCAATATCGACCGCATTCCTTGCATATGGTCAATTCACATTTTTGTAGTTGAAAGGCGTAAGCAGAGCGGAGGCCAACGAGCAGGCCGAAAGGCTCACGGTTCGCTTGCACCTCCACGACAAGAAGCACACGTTGGCGCGCACGCTCTCCGGCGGCATGAAGCGCAAGCTCTGCCTCGGCATGGCCGTCATAGGCGACCCGAAGGTGCTCATCCTGGACGAGCCCACCTCCGGCATGGACCCTGAGTCGCGCAGGGAGGTGTGGGACATGCTCAAGAGGCACCGGGAGTCGAAGACCATCCTCATTACCACGCACTTTCTCGAGGAGGCGGACGTGCTGGGCGACAAGATCGCCATCATGTCGCACGGAAAGGTTCTCTGCCACGACACGCCGCTGGAGCTGAAGAAGAAGTACAGTAAGTGTGAAAACGTCCAAGTTTTGCGAACACCGCGATGTGAGGAATGTTATTTGCGCTGCTAATTCACGCTATATTCGAACATTTATAAATATAGGTTGTTTTGAGTATCTTTTAAGGTTCTTATTTAATTTAGAAAGAAAAATGTTCGGATTTAGTTCAACTTTAGGTAACTTGGTCAAATATGCCAGAATGATGAAGAAAGTGCTTTATGTGCATAAAAATAAAACTTAAAAGGGTTTTAAACAAAAAATAAACAAATTTTTAACATGACCGTCGCATACTTTTTTTTTTTATGTGATTTCGCACATTTTTATTTGCTCAAAATTAAAAGTATCCCCATGTTGTGAATTTTAGGTTAGAGTTTCCACCGGTAAAAAACCGACAACAAAAAAACATAGCGAGCAATTTATAACTATTTATGTTTCTATTTTATCACTATAGACGGTCATGTTAAAAAATAAAAAATACGAATAACTTTAACTTCACAATTAACTGTCGCCATTTGCAACAATAAAATATTTTAATTCACACATGCAGTACCATCTAGCGGCAAATAGACTATCTAAAAGTGATTCTACGGTCATGTGTTCAATGTCATTTTATTTAGCTACTTAAAAGTTGAATTAAAATTTAAGAAGTTCGCAAATGTTGGATTTTGCTCGAGGGACATACGACGGTCATGTGAAACAGGAGTTTTAAAACCAAAATTAAAAAATAAATTTATAGGATATTGAACTTCCGGTATTATATGATTATTATTATTATTTACTAATAATAAAAATTAAAACACATTTGTATCGGAAACCCGCTTTAAAAGTGTCAAGTAAAAAAAGCAGTTTTGAGTTTTTTTTTTACTTTTGACACTTTAAAACGGGCGTGCGTTATTATTACCTACAGGTATAAATGCATTTTTATAATTTTGTTACCCAAATTAAAAAAATGTAAAATTCGGTCTAGCGTAAGTTATGTCAATTCAATTATTTATAAAAAATATTTTGAAAAATAATAATATGAAGGTAGTAAATTAATTTTTGCTTAAAGTATAAAAGCGCTTGCTGCCAATGGGGTAGTTAAATTTTTTCTGACCTATACTTTTTATGGTTTTATTCAAGGCGTTTTGTAATTTTAAACATTTCTGTGAAATCCGAATTTCAATTGAGTTTACCGTTTTCGAGATATTTACAAAAAAAAATCTCCTAATTACGTCACTAGGCTATTGACAACGTTGCCAGCTTTTTCTATGGTTGCCAGTGTGTTTAGTTTAAGATTCTTACGATAGATGGCGCCACTTTATAATATTTTAGTTTTAAAACCACTTGACCTATAATTTTAGTTGAGAAGAAGAAGAAGAATTGATTTTTTGACGTTTCTTTTATTCGGGTTGTTTTTTTTAAATTTAGATTATTGAAAATCAATGTTATTGTTATGTTATTTGTAATTTATATTAGATAAGTGATTTATTAATAACGGACTCCAAAGCAGAGGAATCTTGTGGGATGGTTGGTTACATTGAACATTGGAGCTTTTAAACAAATAAAGTAAGTACCTATAATTATAATCATATTTTGTCGTAAATGCATTTCATTAGTATAATGCCTAGTTCTTTATATTCTTTTAGATATATCTTGGACTCTAAAATATCAAACAGTAATATGATACCTCGTAATAAGGAAGATAGGTACTTAATGAATTTGGTGACCATCTTTCACTCAACTGACAGTGACAGTATTTGTACATAACCTCTTCGGGTATTTTCTGACATAACCGAATGAAATCATTAACAAGACAACTTGACAACAGGGTAATTTTCAACCAATAGAAATCTTAGAATGTTGGTCACGTGGCGAGGTTTGTGACGTCAAAAAAATTTATATTTTTTGTAAATATCTCGAAAACGGTAAACTTAATTGAAATTCTGATTTCACAGAAATGTTTAATATTACTAAACGCCTTGAATAAAACCATAAAAAGTATAGGTCAGAAAAAATTTAACTACCCCATTTAGCATTCTCTTAATATTTGTTACACTTAATAATTGCACCCAGGCCGTCCCTATATTTATAAATGTTCGAATAAAACGTGAATTTGCAATGCGAATAACATTCCAATAACATACCGGTTTTTGTGTATCGTTTTCCAATGGTAAATTCACGTGGTTGCTTTTCCTAGACACTGGCTACCATTTATCGTTGTCTCTTAAGTGTAGCAGCGAAGACGAAAAGGAGAACATCAAGAAAAACGTGCTTTCAATCATAAACGAGGAGTCGGTTAACGCGAGCGACGTTCCCGCTTTCGGAAACACGATCTGCATCAATCTGGAGATCGAAAATAAATCGAAATTCCCCAGTTTCTTGGCCAAAATAGAGGACCAAAAGCAAAACCTCAAGATTGAAAATATGTCTCTAACGTTAACGAAACTGGAGGACGTGTTTTTAAAGTAACCAACTTGAAGTGTGTTTTTTTTCAGTTTGTATTATTTTTTTATTTTAGATCTATGGATACTGATGATACGGACTCGATAGATTGCAAAAAAATAATCACAAAAGGTTTGTTCAAATTTATATATGCCGTTCTTTTAAAGATTTTAGTTTTTTCTTATTAATATATAAAAAGGATAGTTTCTTTGTTTAAACTTTATTTACGTTTACTTAAAAATAAGAATATTTGAATTTTTAATATTAGTTTTATAAAAAATGCAAAAAAGTTATTGGACATACAATTTTTATATAAACATAACAACTTTACATCAAATAAGATAAATTGTTAAATATTCTTTTAAACATAAATTGCTGTTTTAGGTCATTTTTTTTAATTCGTTTTTGTAAATATCATATAATATATTTCTTTCTTGGATTCCTTATCCCTTTTCTGGATTCTGAAGGTAACTACTAATTCCTTGGTCTGACTTCTGAAATTGTTTGTTGCAAATATCATTAAGTGTGGTATCTCTAGTTTGTGAAGAATTTATAATGTTTAGGCCGGAATATATATCTAATATTTTTCGGGTGGTGTGTTAAAAGTATTTTCCGAATTTATTAATTTTGTTGCCATTAGTTTTTTATGTTCTCTATCATGCACTGTATTTAAATCGATGTTATTCTGCAAGACGTCCTGTGACGAAGAAATCACTATATTACTTACTCTCTAAAAGTGAATTAGTCGAAAATGTCCTAGCGAAAAAGCAGCCACTAATAATTCTCGTCAACAGCAATTTGTATCCAGGACGTGTAGCAGTCAATTCCTATGAAATATTATTCGCTGTATCCGAAAATGTCGTCAAAAGTTATAAAAGTTGAACAGTTTTTGAACTATAATCATTTTTACATATAATATGGAATTGACTATATCTCAAAAACTGCTTAACTTTTATAGTTTTTGACGGTCTTTTCGGATTCAGGGGATAAGAATTGGCTGGTAAATGTCCGGGATATAAATAGAGTATGATATTGGACATATGTACAATAATAGAAATTTACATTTTTTACCAACCAGTAAATTGGACACTGGCCATTTTACTGTTTGTTTTCAGAATTAAAATTAAAACGCATTAAAGTGACAATGTTTAAACCATGAGGAACACATTTATACCACACACTGATCTGTACACTTTTTAGAATTATTTTTTATTGTTATTTAAACACAGCCCTGCTCTTAACAAAAAAAAACAAAAATCTTACCACCAAAGTAACTTGCGAACTTTTTTGTCCTATATTGGACCCAAAATAAAGTAGTTCTATATTATTACCGACTGAGATAGTTATAATTGTATGCAGCGTCATCTAATGATTTGACTTTAAGGTAACTATTTATAGAACTCTTGTTTTTACAGTATTAATGTTAATTGTCCAATAACTATAAAGTGTCCGATAACTGTCTACTTTACCCTATTATGTTTTCATGGTTTTAGGAAAAGTTGGTAGCCAAAAGGATGTCCACATACTTAAACCTCTAGCACAAAAGCGATGGTACTGCTTCAAGAGGCGCAAATGGTATTTCGCGTTTACCGTAAGTAACGCGAAATATTTTTGAAAATCAAAAATTATGCACATTTTTTCAGGCATTTTTGGTTGGACTTCTTTTAATTGGAAACATCGCGCTCTCCCAAAACTACCTGTTCGGTTTGAACACAATTATGGAACCAAAACTGAACTTGAACCTCACCACTTACGGAACCGGTTCTGTGTACTATCAAGGACCAAATGGGTACGAAAAAGTGATGAACTATTACAAAAATATCGTCTCGGACCAAAAAAGTGTTCCCATGCAGGAGAATAATGTAGATCAAGGTAATACACTGTAAAAAAACTATACGCTTAATAATATGAAAAATTCGCGTTCAATAAAAATATTGCAAAGTAATATATATTTGCAAAGGTGTCAAACTTTTCACCTTAAAAAGCTGTATATTGTTTTACTTCTTTTTTTTTAACAAAAACACTTTTTAAAAATTATAGGAAATTTCATAAAAAAAAATTAAATTACAATGGCACAGTATGTGTTTAACCGCTCTTAATAATTACAGGGGGGATTACAAAGAGGAAACTTTTTAAATAATTTTTACATTTCTCAGAAAATTTTACCATTAATATTTTCATTCATTTGTCATTTCTAAAAAGTAATCGGCAAAAATTTTCATCGCTGTTTTGGGCATTTTTTATACTTTTTCATAAGTAAAAATTATTGACATTTATTTTTTGAAAAAAAAACCGAAAACTGAGCAAAAATGATTTTTATAAACAAAAATTTTAGTCCACAATTTTCGGAAAAATCAAAATTACAAATTAACCATAAAAAATAAAAATGATGTGACGCATATTCTGAGAAATGTAAATATGTATTTTTTCCTCTTTCTAACCTCATTTGTGGACATTAGGCTGTCCGTTATTTACCCACTTGGGTATCGTTTTGATTGTTAGTTAATAGCCTAAAAACAATTTTGAACAACATTTTTTTCCGATGCTGCTTAACCCTGCCTAAATCCTATATTTTTCCCATTCATTTAACTTTTGCGCTTTTTGTATTTTTTCTTGTTTATTATATTCTATAACTTACCATGGTAAGTTATAGAATATAATAAACAAGAATATTGTACTTCTATTATGATCCCTTTGGATAAAGACATTTTGATATTGGCGTCAAAAATTTATTTGGTAAATTTTGTTAAAAATTCATTTTTACCGTTTTTACCAATAATTTCGTTTAATTTATTGACTACTTAAACGCTTTTAATAATTATTTAGAAAATTAATGAAAATTTTAAAACACACATTAATATTTTATTTTAATAACAGTTTTAATTATCAAAAATGTAAAAACTTTTTTTTTCTTCAATTATCTGATTTTTGCCAAATGGTCCAAATTATCAGAAAAATGCCTAAAAAATACTTTTCATCTTAAAAGTTAATGATTTATGATTGTTTTCTTCATAAAGTCAATATTAAAAGCGTATAAAATAAAATTTAACATTAATACAGAATAAACATTGAATCGTCGGTAAATTAAACAAAATTATTGCAAAAAAAACGGTAAAAATAAATTTTGATCTTATCAAAATTTACTGAATAAATTTTTGACGCCAATATCAAAATTTCTTTATCCAAACAGATCATAATAGAAGCAAAATCAACAATATTTGTTGAGTTATTGAATATAAGAAACAAGACAAAAAATAATTTCCAAAAAGTGCAAATACTCAATCTTAAATGAATGGGAAAAGTATCGTCATTTAGGAATTTTTTTTTCAAAATTGTTATTAGCCTATAAAATAATACGATACCCAAGTGAAAACAGCCGGTGGACATACTGTATGCAAAAAAAAGAAACATTGAAAAAAAAAGAAACATTGAAAAATTGTGTGGTTCAAAATTAAAGTGTTCTCACTTTTCCTGCAGCCATAATCGATAAGGGCACCGCCGACTTGACTTACTACAAGAAGCACATCGTTGTCGGCGCGGAATTTTCGGGCGACTCGATAAACGCTCTGTACGCGTGCAGCGCCTACCACAGCCCGCCGATTTCGGTGAACTTGATTACGAACGCCTTCGCCAAATCCTTTCTCGGCGAGGAGGCTTCGATTACGGTGTCTGCGTGGCCCTTGGCCCCCAAAAAAATCGAAGTGGAACCTACGAAAATCCTCGAACCGCAGATCACGCTGGTCTGGTCGTTTTTGTTCCCGATAGGTAAATAAATCAACAGGTGGAACCAAAAAAGGAAAAAATTGTTGCGTACGCTTCCAGAGATGATGTAATTTTTACGTGCCCGGGCCGCAATAATTGCAGCATTTGAATTTTTTTATTTTTTAGCGACTTTTCTCTACCGAAATCTATGGAACGCCGTTTTACTATTTAATATACATTTATACCAATGTTTCATTTAAATGATAGATGAAAAAACAGAAATTTATCATTTAAATGAAACATTGGTATAAATGTATATTAAATAGTAAAACGGCGTTCCATAGAAATCGATGAGACCTGCATTTTTTGTTTTGTTCACCATTACAATATTTGTTTTAAAATGTAAGTAAATGTTTATTACATACAAAAAAAATATAAAAAATTGAATGAATTTACTTAATTTTTTTATTTGTTTTTTTTTTAAAGACAAAAAAATTGAGGTCAAAATTTTGACATTGCCACGTTTTTTTTTTAAATGTGAAGTAAAAAAAATGTGGCAATGTCAAAATTTTGACCCCAATTTTTTTGCCTTTTTTAGAAAAAAGAATTTAAAATAAAATTGAGTAAATTCACTTAATTTTTTGTATTTTTTTGGTATGTAGTAAACTTTACCTACAATTAAAAAAAATTGTTTTCGCATTTTTAAGAAAAAATGACACTCGTAAAAAGAGAAAAATCAATGTACTACATACAAAAAAAATATAAAAAATTGAGGGAATTTACTTAATTTTTTTTTGGGTTTTTTCAAAAAAAAAGACAAAAAAATTGAGGTCAAAATTTTGACATTGCCACATTTTTTTTACTTCAAACGAAAAAAATATGAAGTAAAAAAAATGTGGCAATGTCAAAATTTTGACCTCAATTTTTTTTCTTTTTTTAGAAAAAAGAATTTAAAATAAAATTAAGTAAATTCACTTAATTTTTTGTATTTTTTTTGTAAATAGTAAACTTTATCTACAATTTAAAAAAAAATGGTTTTCACATTTTTAAGAAAAAATTTCAAGAAAGAGAAAAATCAATGTACTACATACAAAGTGAATTTACTTAGTTTTTTATTTGTTTTATCCTTAAAAAAGACAAAAAATTGAGGTCAAAATTTTGACATTGCCACATTTTTTTTTTTTTACTTCAAACGAAAGAAATATGAAGTAAAAAAATGTGGCAATGTCAAAATTTTGACCTCAATTTTTTTTTGCCTTTTTTAGAAAAAAGAATTTAAAATAATAAAATTGAGTAAATTCACTTAATTTTTTGTAATTTTTTTGTATGTAGTAAACTTTACCTACAATTTAAAAAAAAATTGTTTTCGCATTTTTAAGAAAACATTACACTCGTAAAAAGAGAAAAATCAATGTACTACATACAGATTGAATTTACTTAATTTTTTTATTTGTTTTTTTCTAAAAAAAGACTAAAAGTTGAGGTCAAAATTTTGACATTGCCACATTTTTTTTTACTTCAAACGAAAAAAATATGAAGTAAAAAAAATGTGGCAATGTCAAAATTTTGACCTCAACTTTTTTTGCCTTTTTTAGAAAAAAGAATTTAAAATAAAATTGAGTAAATTCACTTAATTTTTTGTATGTAGTAAACTTTACATACAATTAAAAAAAAATTGTTTTCGCATTTTTAAGAAAAAATGTCACTCGTAAAAAGTGAAAAATCAATGTTTCTGTCCATTTTCCAAAAATTTCCTACGGGTGAACAGAACAAATTTAAGCAAAAAGAAAAAATACGGGTCTCATCGATTTCGGTATAGAAACTGTAAAAAAAAATTTGTTGCCTGGTCAATTTGAGATGGAAAGACCATATGGCATTTTAAAGCTAAGAGCTTCTAGCTTCTGGAATAAAAATGTAAAATTGCATAAATCATCACACATTCCTACAGAGTGTTAGCAAATTTAAAAATATCGCAGCAGCAATTTTTTCTTTTTTTGATGAATTTATTTGGGATATTTCAGGGGAAAAATCGTTTTAGGTATAATATTGCTGCTATGTCCGTTCATAATTTACCCATACGATGAAATGTCGACGAAATTCACCACCATCCAGTTTATGGCAGGAGTGTCCCCCTGGTTGTATTGGTTTACAACTTTCATAACGGATTTCGCAATATTATCAGTGCAAATTGGATTGTTGCTGGTGATGCAGCTGTTCCAGAAGACTTTTAGTTTTAATGTTTTCTATAGCAAAGAGTCATTCGGTAAGAGAATATTTATACTTTATTTCTATCTGTTTGTGCACTTTTTCACTTTACACTTTTGTTTGTACAGTATTAACCTTGGTGTAAGGTGGTTAAAATCATTTTCAATAGGATTGGATTGGATTCAATGGCCAAATCTGGCCAGACCAGAAATTTATTTGTTGTATGTTTGTTTTTGATAAACCAATCTTTTTTCACACAACATTTAAAGCCTAAAAATTAATCCGCTTTCCATCCACATTCTAACCTGCTGACTTATTTAAGAAGGACAATCTGCACCATTCCTCCACACAGGATTCCAACGAAAATGGATTGAAGACAGGTAAAATGTACACACCTACATATTTACACTACATAAGGCGGGTCAAATTTTTAGGAAGATTACTATGCAACAAAAAATGTTGACAATAAAATTAAGTATCGAAAATTAAAACAAACATTGAACATGGTTGTTTAATTAAAGATGCAGATGACATTTTCGAGTGTAAGTCTAAAAGATCCTTTCAGTTAAACTGTAGGAACTTTTTGCAAACTCAATAGTCAGAGATTAAACATTGATTGTTTAATTAAAGACATCTTTTGAGTTGAAGAAACTTGATGATTGGACCAGATGGAAAAAAAAGATCCTCTCTCATCTTAATATGAGTTTTTTTTCGAAAACTTTATACTTTGATGGTGCAGGAACCCTTCTAGGAATCCTTTAAGTATCTATCATAGATCTCGTCGTTTCTCCTCGGGATGCAGATAAAAAAGCGAATTTTTATGATTCAGGGTTGTGGAAAAAGATAATTTATGCATTGGTTATTGGGTTTTCAAAATTTCGTTGGGTAACTAAAGTCGGAAAGGGTTTTAAACGCCTAATAGATTTGCTGTATTTTTTCGTTAAAATAAAGTTAAGAAATCGGGTAAAAAGGAAGAATATATGGATGAAATACCATGGAGGAGAAAAGGAGCATCCAGTTTCTTAACTTTATTTTACCAAAAATTATTACACATGATTGAAAAACAAAAAATGTATTACTTGTTCAAATCCCCTATGACTTACCCTGTATAGGTTTTTGTAAAGGAAAATTGTTTATTTTTTTCGGTTTTTGGAATGCAAACAATGTTTCTTCGGAAGCAATGGCGTATCAAGAGTAAATTAATTGTTTTTTTGCCAAGATATACGCAAAAATGCATTTTTTCAGTTTTTAGCGGATATTTGGGCTGGGTATATAAAAATGGGTATATAAAAAATAATAAGTTAAGATGAAAAATGTGTTTTTGCACATTGTTTTTTGACACTTTTTTGCCATGTTTATTTTTAATTGTAAGGCTATATTTATCGTTAATATTAACCTTATATTTTTTTAACAAAAACTCTTTAGATGAATTTTTTTTTTTAATTTCAATGGAAAACAAAGAGGAAAACAAATATTAAACGTTTTTCAGAAGATTTTACTCTTGATAAAAGTTTTCTCTTGATTTCAAACCCTCAGATTATGCGAGACGTTATTTTTACTGTATAAAGTTAATTTGCAATTTCGTTTTTTCTTAAAATTTTGGACTGAACTTTTTTTGATAAATAAATCATTTTTGGTCAGTTTTCGTTCATTTGTCATTTCTCAAAAGTAATCGTTCAAAGATTTTACTTTTTTATCGCCAAAAATTTGTATTGCTGTTTTAGGCATTTTTTATACTTTTTAATAAGTAAAAATTAATACCTTGGCAATAACATTTGTTTCTGAAAAAAAATTACAAATGAACAAAAACTAATCAAAAATGATTTGTTTAAAAAAAAATTCGGTCCAAAAAGTTCGAAAAAATCAAGTTTGCAAATTAACCACAAACAATAAAAATGATGCGTCACATAATCGGTGGGTGTAAAATCGAGCAAAAACTTTTATCAAAAATAAAACTTTCTAAGAAATGTAAAATATTTTTTTTCTTTGAAATGGATGGGCAGCACTAAAGATTTAACTGGAAAAATTGTAAATTAGTATCCTTTATGGCGGGTTTACACAACTTCATATCATTAATTTATTTCATAATTCACAATTTGGTGCATAATCATAAAAGTTAAATCGTACTATCTGCTATGACTGCTATGAAACAGTTTATACAACGATTTAATCTCTAAGTCGCAATTTAGTGTTCATTGAATAACCTTGAAAGTTCATAAAATTGAACTGTTATGAAATAAATTTTGAATTATTAATTATCGTGTTTGTGTTGGTGCCTTAAAACATACTACAAAGTTCCTACAAAACATGAGTTTTAATGAGGGATTTTGTGTTATTTCTTACTTTCAATTATCAATATTGTCATTTAAAAAAATAATAGTATATCAAGTTTGATATACGCCATTTTATACACGAATTTAATTTAGGCACGAGCGAGCTTGCGAGCGAGTGCTTAAGTTAATGAGTGTATAGAAAAGTTTATAAACGAGGTGCATACTATACTTTTTCTACGACAAATACTTATTATTATTTAAATCAAAAATTTGTATGGAGCGCCATCTATGAAACAACAGGGTAAACTGTCAAATGTCACAGTTTTACATTTTATAAACACAGATTATGAAGGTTATAAATCGAAATTTATCTTGAAAATTGACAGTTTTTCACAGTGAAAGTAAAGGAAATGTTTTATGAGGACTTTACAGTAGAGTCCGTGCCCGAATTTAAGTTATAGTTTACTGCCGGCGAAATTAAAAGGTCAGTGCAATGTTCATATAAACTTATCAAATATTGGCGTTGAGAAACTATTTAATACTTTTGTATTAAGATAATGAAGAAAGGCACTTTATTTTAACGATTATATGACATTTGACAACTGTCAACTGACTTAAAACTAACTTCAGCCCGTGACTAAAAACCTGTTGCTAACTTCAGCCCGCGACTAAAGCGCCATAAAGCCACAACTTGTCAATGTGTATTTAAAAGGTCGCTTAGTGTCATGGAAACATGTACGATAAAGGGCGTTTTAAAGGTGGGAGTAGAAAAAATATAGTAAATTAATGAATTGTATAAACCAGATTTTAAAGTTATATATTATGTTTTAAATTATGCATTAAATTAACAATTGAGTTATGAAATAAATTGTCCATTGTTGTATAAACCTACTTAAATAAAAACTAATTTTTTCGGGCGAATAGTATCGTAAAAGGCATTTTTTTATCAAAATAATTTAAAATACTAAAGTTTAAAACTATTTCTAGTTTATTTTTCTGGGACAAACGTTTTTTTTTTCGGGCATTCAACTTCTTCGGAAATTGTAACTCTCTATGTTACACCACCCTTCATTTTTATAAAAATAATTGTATAAAAAATATGTATAGTTTTTATTTATATTTAGGATAGGTCGCCGCTAAAAATTTAATGAAAAATTGAGACTAACGTTTCATTAAATTTTTAGGAACGTTCGCGCTAATAATGCTGTTGATGTCGGTCGCGAGCCTACCGTACACCTACCTGTTCAGCCGACGGCCGAATTTGTCTTCGGGCGTGGCCCTGTTCATTATTCTGAACCTCTTCATGGGCCTGATCCCCTACGCGGTGGTCTTCTTGCTCAAGGAATTCGGCAGCACGTGCTGGAGCACGGTAGGCAAGGCGCTCGACGTGGTGCTGATGATAACGTGCCCCCCCTACGGCTACACCGCAATAGGAAATTACTACTCCAAACAGACCACCAGGCTGTACAACTGGAACGAGATGAAGGGCGCCGAGAGGGTTCAGGAGTGCAGGATGGAACCGAATCATCCCTGCTGCAGTGAGTACCGAGTTTTTTTTGTATTCGTACCGCGAAACAGGCAGAATACGCTAAAGAAGTATCGGGTTATCGCAACGCGCGCGCCATCTCGTGGAATACATTTAAGCACAGATTACACATCATTTTTAAATAATTAGGTAACTACCTTCACAAAAGATAGGAAGGCAGAAGTCTTACTCGACAAATTTCATTAAATTGCACATCTAAATCGCGCACGTTATTTTTTTTACGTTGCAAGGAAAAAAATAAAAAACTTTTAGTACTCGATTGCGATTGATTATTCCTTATATCATTGATTAAGTACCTCAACGCTTAAATGCTTATATAGTTAAGTTGGTGTGTGTATTTTATCAAAGGCGAATTATTGTGTTTTTATATTTAAATAAAATTCAAGAACTAAATCGTTGCATTTTCATGTTTTGCCAAAGGATCAAATTCGGTAAGTACATTTGTTGATGCAGAATTAACTAATGATAACTTTACCGAATATAATTTATATTTAAGTTTGGACATTTTTAAGAAATAGGTAAAATAGTATATTACACTACAAGGGCAGAAAGTGTGAGATTCCTGCACTGCGCGCCATGATGCCCGAGGCGAAGCCGAGGGAATCATGGCGCGCAGTTCAGGACTCTCACACTTTCTGCCCTTGTAGTGTATACTATTTTTCTTACTACCCTGCAGAAAATACGGGAAAAAATTAAATGTATATAAAAAAAATTTGTGTCAAAATTAAAATCTGACGTTTAATTTAATTCTGACGTTTACATTCAAAATCAATCAAACTGTAGCGTTGTCATGGTAATTCAGCGGTGCCAATACAGTAAAAATAAAAGGTTGTATTTTAATTAACAAATTACTACTTTATAACAAATAAAAGTACCATTAAACACTTAAAACAACATAAAAAGTAAAAAAGTAAAAACATAAATTGTTTATTTGTTGTTATAATTGCAAAATTATGGTTTAAAACTGTCATATTTTTGTGTTTCTCATGTTGGCAGTACGAAATTTAAATGTTAAGCACGCGACTAAAAAATTTTTACTCCCGCTATTAGAGTGTGCGCGTATAGCTTGACCAATGCAAGAAACGTAAACTTTCTGCCGTGAAATCGGGGACGAAACAACGTATTTTGAGTCGAGGTAGTAAGAAAAATAATTTTTGCACAAACATAACCTTAAAATCAACCATTTTTATGCTTGAGTTCTCTAAAAAACGCCGACAACTGCATTTTAAACAACAAAATATACCCACAAATTCATGGCAACAATATTATATATAATACATAATGTAATGGTATTTTACCGTTGAGTGAAGACTTTCTTAATCAACGCTTTTAATAATGCTAAATTCTGTTTAAATTTAGACGACTTATTTGTTTGACGATTTTTACTGAATTGAAATGTTTACACTTTTCACGTTAATCATTACTAAAATGTGTATTTATTGTATCTAATAGGTACAATTTACATTTACAAAGACTGTTTATTGAAAAACCGGTAAAAACTCAACAAATCGTGCCACGGTTTTTTTTTTTCGATATTTTTTAACATTTTCCGGCTTTATTCTCAAAAACTCTCGTTTGTAACATAAGCGTTTGACAGCTGATTTTTATAAGTTATACTTTTGTTACGATGATAACAGCCGAGTGGTGGCGCTACCAGCGATACTTCTTTAGCGTATAGAAACCAGCGTTACCAGATTCTGTCAAGAAAAGTAATAGATTTTGTGTGAATTTGCCTTTACTAGGAAAATTTACAATTTAACGTTACTCAGTTACTTAAATTAGTAAATTTTTCAAGTAAAGTTAAGTTCGCACAATATCTATTACTTTTTTTGACAGAATCTGGTAACGCTGATAAATACAGGTTTTCATGATTTTGTTGTTCGAAAATAATTTAATAACTTTTTTATTGTAAATAAATACATGTTTTTAACACTTTTAGAAATAAATAAACATAATTTGCATTTTAACATTTATTCCATTAATAATTCCTTAACTTCTTCAAGTGTGAATTGATTTGGAAATCTTCTCTTTTAATTTTCAGGAAATAGACTTGCGTCTTTGTTACTATTTAAAAATAGTTGGGTTAAAAACTGAATTGAAACGCAGAAAGTACTCATTTTGAAAAATCGTAAAATGCAATAGTCTAAGTTAAATTTGCTTTCGCTATATATGAAAAATATTATTACCTTATAAATGAGCGAATAATGTTCAACCTAATAGTTTTTACCTTTAAAGATGCAAAACAACAGATTATTATTAATTTATAAAATATTTTTCCTTTGAGATACCTACAGAATAAAGGATTATTTATTAATTAATACCTAATATTTTGGTATGAATAGGTAATTAATTATTAATCCTATAGGATAAGAATACTTTTTAATGATATTAAAAAATGTAATACATTTTAAAATATGTATAATAATTAATAAATTCAACTTATAAGCATAGATCTATGGGTACGAAAATCCTGAGTGCGCAGACAATGCCTTAGTTAGGTACGAGCGCTAGCGATTTAGCCGTGCAGGGCCATAAATAAAAATTCATAACTTTTCCATATGTGCGTATATGCAGCTAATTTTGTGTGTACTCATAAAGTAAAGTTTACTAAACAACCTCATGTTGATATCAACGTGGAAATCGGAGGCAATCGTAGTTAAATGCCCATATGAATTTTTTCTCTCCTAATTTTACCAATGTGTCTTTAGAACGTTATAACTTTTAATTTTTATTTTTTTATTCAAATAGGAATTTTTATATATTTAGATTAAGGTGTACTTTGAACTTATTAAAAAAATATATACATTTTTTTATTTGATTAAAAGATATAGTTTATTAAATGTGTGCGTAATTTTAGAGCCAATTTTACTGTTTCAAAAACATTCTACTTTGAGGTGTCATAAAATCAAAACATAATTATTTAAAAATAATTTTTTACCAAAATCTATTGCTTTAAGATGTTTTTAACAAATTTTCGTCATAAAAATATACATAATAAAAAGTTTTTAAAAATGTATTTTTTCTGCTAATGCTACGTTTACACTTTGTGAATTAAAAATTATCGACTCACATTTAAAATTTTAAATTTTGCGTTAAAAATGTATCAATTAAAAATTGTTTAAAATAAAAAGTTTTGGTTTAAATTTTTAGTCATTTAAATGATAGTCGATATAATTTCAATCCAAATATTACCACTTTAAACTTTAAAACTAACATTTAAATGTGATGTGAGAATTTTTGTATTAAAATTATCAATTATTTAAGTGACACTTAAAAAATTTAAACCGATTATAATTTTGTAGAATAAAATATTTGTAGGTACTTACATTTTTAACAAATCATGCAAATTCTGTAAAACATTCATAAATTTTAGGGGGCGACGCGAAAGCTTGTTCCGCGTACACCAGTTACTTTGGATCTGAAGGGAACACCCTGTGCTTAAATCTGTTCTACATGATTTTGGGTTCGTTTTTTTACATGCTTGTGAATATTTTCCTCGACAAATACTTCAAGACTTTCCTTGAGAAAGCCCAGCTGTATTGCCAACAAATAATACACAGCCAAACCCACGATGATAACGAAAGTATGTGTCTTTTAATTTAAACATATTTATCATTAATAATATTAAATCTCAAGGTCAAGGGCTTATTTCCACCTCCGATGGAAAAGGTGATGGGGGCTTTCACGCAACTTTACTGAGAAAAACTTACAATAACAAAAAAACCGTCAACATCAGCGAATTGAAGGCGGACAAGGGTAAATGTTTGGGATTTTTGGGGGTGAACGGTGCCGGTAAAACCACCACGTTCAACATCATAACCAAGCAAATTTTAAACGAGGACCCCAAAGGGCAGTTCCACATCGGAGATGTATGACGATGATGTTTAATAAAGCCGTTGGAATACTTTTTACGTTTACTATTTCAGGGCGGTGATAACAACGAGGATAACTATCTGAAGAAACTGGGGTACTGTCCTCAGGCTGATTTGCTAAATTTCACCTTGACTGGGGAGGAACTGCTCACTGTCATGGCTAATATTCGCGGGGTCTCCGATGTAGACAAAACTGTTCGGGAATTTCTGGAAATGTTCAGTAAGTAACTTTCTTAAAATTTGCGAAGCCAAAACCCTAAAAATAAACTTAATAATTATGCAATTATTAAGTCCTATTTTAGCCCGTTTTTCAATCGGTTGGTGATAGTTCTTGTGTTGGTTTTAATTGTACAACAAAAGTGATAATATTTCTTTAACGCCCTGTTCAATTTTAACAGTTCAAAATGGAACATGTTTATGAAGGTGTATACAATAATTCGCTAAAACTAAATTTCCGAAAAAAAAATATTTTCGTTGTTAAAAGTTATATTAACATATAGACCTGATTTTGATTTTTTTTTTTATTATTTCACGATGAATAAGTTGAGTTGTGGTCCTTTTCGAAATATGGTTTTTACGGGAAAACGTTTATTGAACTGTATATTATTAGGTTCTTAAATAATCTACTGCACAAACTTGCCAGATAATTAATAAAACCACAAAAGACATACAGAAGCATTTTTTGCAAAAGATTTATTAATCTTTGCGCTACATATAAAATCTGTTTACTGCATATAATTTTTTTTTAATTAACACAGAAAAAAGATGTTTTAATTCAAGAAATAATAGTTGTTTGATTTTTTTATTATTTTTAAAAATAATATTATTTAATTTAAAATAACATGTTTAAAAAGAATAATTGACTTTATTTAAAATGAAAAAGCAAAAATATTAATTAATGAACTTGACTTGCATATAGGTACTCTGTTTAAATAAACGTTGATTTCTTTAAAATATAAAAATATATATTAAAATTTGTAAAGTTTAAATTAAAATAACAATTATTAATTTAAAAGGAACATGGCCCGCCATTTTAAATTTGATAATTTTGAAATCAAATTCGTGATCAGCGACCCCAAAAACCCAACAATGAACATTTTCTGGGCAATAAACTATTTTTTTTTCTTCAAAAAAGTCCGCCATTTTGAATTTGTTACTTTTAATACAAAATGCTAAAGCATACTGTAGATATAGACACCATCAAACTAATATATTACGCTTTTGTTCAGTCAGTTTTGTGTTCCCAATATCCTAAGAGATAAATTTTCTTTTATTAAACATTAAGTTTTTTAAGACATAACTCTACATATTTAATTAATACTACCCTTTCCTAGAAAATATTTTTTTGTATTTTTTTTATACTGTAAACTGTATACATTTTTTTCTTCTTTAATTTCTTAACCTAGAAAAGACGCCAACAAGCAAGACTTTGGCGTTTGTTTTTCTTGGTAAAGTTTTTTTTTCTGTATTTTTATGCATTTAATTATTTTAAATATTTTTTGTTTGTAAAATTGGTTGTAAAATAATAAACACTGGGCATAAAAAATTCCTTGTCATCTTGACTGAGTTGGTAGGGGTGCTAAAAAAAATTTTTTAAGTAATTATATATATTTAGGTTCTAGTGTATTAAATTCTTTTTAAAATGATATATCACAACCTGCATTTTTCTTAAAAAACAACAAAATATACCTAAAAACGAAATCCATGTAGTAGCTCCTAGACTTCTACAAAATTGTCATTTTTAGCCCTATTTCGTTTGTTTTCGACAAAAATATACCATTTTATATATCAAAGAAAAGGATTTTTAATTTTCTTTTAAATTAGCTAAAATAGTAAACTATCTAAAGAATGTTTTGCTGTATTAAGCAAACTTTATATTTTTTCTATTATGAGATTTTTGAGTAACAAGATTGGTAATTATTAAACAAGATTGGTAATTATTAAACAAACGGTTAACATTTTTTTCTCAAAATATAAATACATATAACATAGTTTTTAAGCCATATCTATCGACGCGTATTTTTTAATTAAAATTAAAAATGGTGATTTTACCTCACTTTTAATTTTAATTTAAAAAAAGCTTGGCTAAAAAACTATTTGTACAAAAGAAGTGATATTTATTTATATTTTTGTTAAAAAGAATTATTTATTGTTTTCTTATTTTTTAAGTACTGTACTCTCCACTGTAATTAAAAAATAAGATGTTTTTTATTTAATTACATAAATTCTTTCGCATACTTTATTTCTCCTAAAATCCTCCAAAAACCTCCTAAATTCCTGCAAACATCAATCAATCTATCTATCCAATATTAAATTCATGATCAGCGACCCCAAAAACCTTAACTTACCTTGACTTTTCGAGTTTTGGCCGATTCGGCTACATTCTCAAACTTCAAGAAACTGAAAAAGCAATTTTTGCAATAAATTGTCGTTTTATTCAAAAAAAAAAAATAGACCTCGTGAAGCACAAAGACAAAATGATAAAGACGTACAGCGGGGGAAACAAGAGGAAGCTCTGCGCGGCGGTGTCGTTCCTGGGAATCAAGGACGTGATCCTCCTCGACGAGCCCACCAGTGGCGTGGACGCGAAGAGCAGAAGGAACTTCTGGAAAATCCTCAAAACCTACCAGTTCGACAACAATCTAACCACCATACTGACGTCGCACAGCATGGACGAATGCGAAGCTCTATGCGATAAGTATGTCGTACTATGCTCCACACCTCAAAGTCCCACCACGTGACCACCAAAATTTGGCATTTAACGCTTTTCAGGTTATGTATCTGTCAAAGTATAGTCAACGAAAGAAATACACGGTGCTGTTCTTGTTAATTAGGTCATAACTAAAATTTTAAGAGCAAAATAAAAAAAAATTGACGGTTAATTTTGTTTTAATTGGATGTTTATTAAAAATATTTATGCACACTTTCAATTCTCCAATTAAAACTTGCGATTTTATTTAAATATTATCATAACTTTTTAAATCAGATTAAAGATTAGTTAATTTCCTAAAAAAAGGTCTATACATTTTTTATATCTTTTACTGTTTTGTTGTAATACACGTTTAAAGTTTTAATTTAAGGTTAAATGTATAGTATACATTTATTAAACAATAATTCTAAGGGTGCCACATTTTATTTATGGCCGATTTATTCATTTTTGATTTATTTGACGAATAATTTCTTTGAATACTAGATATTGCCAAGACATGAAAGTTATCGGCCCGATAAACTTTACTAAAGATGAATAAACCTGTCCTTAGTTAAATTTCATGAATTTCTTCGTAACTTTTACTACAATTTTTCATTTTTGTTTATAAAAAACACTTTAAAAAACTAAACAAAAATTATAGAATACTTATACTGAAAATGACAATTCAAACGTCAAATAAATTTTTAATAGATCTAAGTTTCATGGCAACCTTTAAGGATATATTAATTAAGGGAACATAAATATACGTCAAAGGTTAGATTAAAAGTTTGAACGTTTATTGCAACAAAACAGTAAAATATATTAGTTATGCAAATATTAAATATTTAAATTAAATCGCTAGTTTTAATTGGATAATTGAAAGAGTGCATAATATTTTTAGTAAACAGCCAATTAAAACAATTCAAACCGTAAAATTTTATTTATTTTGCTCTTAAAATTTTAGTTATGACCTAATTAACAAGAATATAAAAAAAATAGGTTTCACAGAAAGTCCAAAAATCACCTCTCAGAACAGCACCGTGAATAATATTATGTTTAGGCGTTAAAAATGTATAAATCTTTGTAACATTACAATAACAATGGATGGTTTAAGAATTTAAGAATTTAAATACTGCATTTGATGAAATTCTAAAGTGTATGGTGCCAAATAAGTAATATTTTTCTGCATTTGGTCCAAATATCTGGTTTTCTCCATAAAATAATTTTAACTAAACAGCATTTATTAAAAAAAAACTAGCTTCTCTATTATGGAATAAGAATATCTGTATTAAAGGTAGGTTAATATATTAAAACAAAAATATCATCTAATTTTGTAATTTTAAGGTTAGAAAAATTTATTTTGACCAAAATAAATAAGTGTTTTGGATTATTTAAAAGACAGTATAATATGGTATTTAAAAATGTGGTAGTTTTTCTTATCCAGCTTAAAGTGTACCTACATAAAGTTTTGTCAATACAAATAGTTAAAAAGCTTCGACTGAATTTGATCTACATCAAAAAATCATTATAACTTTAATATTTTAATAAATCACATGTCATGGGAGTATTAAATATTCACATTGCAAGTTTCTCTAAAAATTGTTTGTTTTCTTATAATCTAACTTAAAGTAGGTTTGCCGAGAGGCATGCACAAGTTTTGTCATTAGAAGTATAATTTGAACCATATTCAACAATTATTTAGTATACCTATATTTATTTATGACCATATTAACACACTCTTCCAAATAATCCACTTATTTATTTTGGTCAAAATAGATTTTTCTAACCTTAAAATACAAAATTAGATGATATTTTTTGTTCTAATACATTAACCTACCTTTGATACAGATATTCTTATTTCATAATAGAGAAGTTAGATTTTTTTAATAAATCCTGTTTAGTTAAAACTATTTTATGGAGAAATGTAGACCCAATGCACAAAAATATCACTTAAATTGCACCTTACACTATGGAATTTCATTAAATGCAGTATTTATATTGCTAAATTCTTAAACCAATGTTATTGTGATACTATAAAGATTTATTAACTTTTAACGCTTAAACATAAGCGGTAACGCTATAAATATTATTTCTTTCATTGACTATACTTTGACAGATACATAACCTGAAAAGCCTTAAATGCCAAATTTTCAAAACGTGGTCACGTGGTGGGACTTTGAGGTGTGTACACCGCAACTTTCATTTTGATTTTTCAACGTTGTTTTTCAAGTTTGATCATTCTGAAAGAGGGGACCATAAGGAAAAACGCGCCGATATCCAAACTTAAACAGGAAATTAGCGGCTACATCGTCTCCTTTAAGTTGACGGCAAAGCAAAATTTCGATGAGGTTGATGCTGTGAGCTTAACCAGCAAACCCAGCCACGTTAATCAGGACGTACTGGAAAGCTTCAAGAATACGATGAGCCGGAAATTTGAGGACAGCGTTTTGAGAGATGAGCACCACGTAAGTAGTTTATATTCATTTTTGTGTCCAAATATAGCCTTATCAACATCTCTCGACTGAAAACCTCAGTAAAATGACACTTTTGTGGCATTTTTCAGAATGTTTTTACATCGTTTATTTGAGGAGCATCCGTGCAAAACCGGCTAAATCCATTTTATTCAGTTTTTGTTTTTTTTTGATTTCGCATCTTTGGGTTCATTTCTATCGACAACCAAGATAATTCTGTTTAAATCAGACTATATTCATGTTAAAATCACATTTAAAAGGTAGCTTTAGGAACAAAACCGGCCAAATCCACGTTTTTATAGCAAACCCGGCTATATCCAATAAATAATAATAGGTGGCTTGGATATGTCAATACTACTACTAAAATTTGTTCTGTTTTTTCATGTTTGCACTAAATTTATTTTGTTAATATTTTTGAATAATAAAGGTTTTTTTTTCACATTTTATTCGTTTTTTGAGCAAAACCGGCTATATACAAAACATTTTTTAAAATTTTGGCCTTAATATAAAGTTTTTGAAAACGAAAGTAGGTCTTATAAATCAAGTACCACCAAGCCCACAAAACTCAAGTTTGCTTTTTCTTTTATCTGTAAAGGCCAGGAAACCAAGAGTTTTTGCCATTTTCCCAACATTTTATTTAAAGTGGATATAGCCGGTTTTGCACGGATGCTCCTCATTTATTGTTTGAATAAGAGTGAATATATTGAGATGTCCCCCAAAAATGATTATTTTTTATTTTTGGTTGTTTCAATGATAGTCTAGAATGGGGTTTTTGGGAAGCCACCAGGTCTAGTAATAACATAACATAAGTGGTTCTGCACTAATGCAAGAATTTTAAGAAATCATACATTTTGAATATTAGAGCTTCACGGAGGATAGGTTCACGTATGATTTTTTAAATATCCCCTTTAATATTTGAAATAAGTTATTGTATCTTTTGACACCTTAATATTTTTAAAAAATACAATTGTACATACATACATAAAATATTTATAAAAAAATCTGCTTACTGAGATATTAAACTTCACGGTGGATAGGTTTTCAAATAGGAAATTAATGAACATAAACTTTTGAATTATAACAGCAACACTCTCATCTGCATATAAATTCTAACTGACCTTCAGGAATCATTCAGGAATTATTTAAAATGATTAAAGCGCCATCCGTTGCATAAAATTTAAAGCGAAAACAGATTCACGGAGGATAGAATCAATTTTTGTAACACCTACAGAAATGGTTATAAAAATTATTTATTTTAATTTTTAATAATATTTTATATTTGATTCGATTGCTTTGGATGTGTTTAATTTACTTAGTGAACTGATATTTTTAATATGCTTTTACTACCTCAGATATTTGAAAACATATAGGTTAACTAGAAAGAGTAACAGTCACGGAGGATAGGTTTTAAAATTTTAAAACATTGTAAAAAATAATTAATTGCTTTTAAAAATCTCGAACCTGAGCTATAATATGCATTTAATTTTGAAAGATCAAAACACAATAAAAGTTGATTTCTTTAAAATATAAAAACAATTTACTTTTTTTAAAAACTTCGCCATTTTAAATTTGATAATTTTGATGTTAAATTTGTGATCAGCGACCCCAAAAACCCAATAGTAAAGATTTTCAGCGCAATAATATAATTATTTTTTTAAAAAGTGAACCATTTTTGGTATTTCGTGATTTTTTTACGGAAAATTGAATACCTATTATTATTATTATGTATTTGTGGTTTATTTAATTTATTATTCCCTATCATCTAGGGTTCTCTTCAATACCAAATTACAACACGCAATCGCTTAAGTCAAATTTTCAAGGACGTTGAGGAGATCAAAATAGATTTTCCCATCATTGAGGACTACTCCATAAGTGAATCATCTGTCGAGGATATATTCCTTAGCGTTGCAAGGAGTGATAGCGGTAATGATAATGTTAGCGTGTAAATTTTCCGGTGAAAAGTTTCTCCGGAAAATTCGAAATTGCCATGATGAAATAACTGTGTTTGAAACCAGTTTCATGAAAATAGGGCTGGTTCTTATTGCAATTTTAGAGTTTTTAGGACATCTATGAGGGAATTTAAAAAGTTTGATCAACATAATGGAAGAAATAGTATCAAACCCAATTATTTCATTTTGTGTGATTTGAATATTTTTTCTTTCTTTCTTACTTTTTTTTCACGCCCTGAAATTTAATTGAGCGTCAGCTATAAATCCTATTCAGATGAATGTGTATTACATTATACAAATTATGCCTTACAATCAACCTTGTAAACAATAATTATATTGAAATGCGTTTAGCGATATTTTTTGTGATAGCTAAGAAAAATGTTTGTGATATTGTGCGTGTTACTATTTTTTGAATTTTGTACAGGTAAAGTAATTGTGTTATAAATAAACTTTGATTTAAAAATACACATTGTATTTTTTTTTCTAAAAGGCTTTAAAGTATTAAGGATTGGAAATTAAAATTAAACACAATTATTTTATGCTTTATTATTCGTACAAAAACTGAAAGTATTGAAAGCCAAAAATAAAAGCGGAGTAAAACCATTGTACAAAAAATGTACGATAATTAACATTGTTAAAATGTAAGTCATAATAATTATATTTACAAATTGATTAAGGCCTCAAAAACACCTCAATTCTTATTTTTAAAATATTTTTTAGACTCGAATATTTTTCCGTTGAATAAAAAACTAAAAATGTTGTAAATTTAAGAACCATCTGTGATAGGATTGTGCTACTTATCTAGTCCAAATTTAAGCCTAGCTTACGTACTTCAACATTATATACTTGCATATAGTTTTAGTCTATAGTATAAATTTAAATTTTTATAATATTGATACATAATTTTGGTAAATATAAATTTATGTTGTACATTCGGTATAATTTAAATAAACGGCAGCTTGCACATTTAATTTTTAACCAAATATGTGTATGAGATGGAATAAATATTAAAAATAAATTTAATCAAAATGAAATACCCAATAATAATTTTAGTTTTATGTGAACTTATTTTTTCATTAATTTAGGTTTTGCACAATAGAAAGAATTAGGTAGGTTTTTTAGTATTTAGTATTTTTACGTGGTAAATTTATGGGTACAAAACATTTATAGTGAAAATGTAAAAAATAATAAACCCATTTATTGTACCGTAAAAATATGTTTGTGTAGTATTGTTTACAACATATTTACAGGGTTATGGTGGGGAATCCGCACATAAGTATAAAATTTGTATATAATATTAAAATAAAATAAATAATAACCAAGAAATTTTTTTTATTATTATCCTGTAATGTCATTTTAGTGAAAAAGGTAAGAAAGACATGCCGAAAATATAAAAAAAATCATCAAATACGTTTTTTTATTATTCGTCTTTATTTAACAAAAAAACAAAAAATACTTCTATAAAATTGTTGTTTCGAAAAAATTCAAGTTTGACATTTTTTTCGAAAATTACTGAAAAGGTTGGACTCCTCTAACGCCTGAAAGTATAAAACCCGTAATACAATTTTGAAATTTTAAAATAATATTTACTTCGTTTGCTTAAAGAAGCCAACTAAATAAAGTTTTTGCTACAGATATATGACATCTGGCGATGTCAATACTGATAAACAACCACTTAAGAGCTTTGGAATGCAAAAGGGACCCTTCCAAGTTCAATTTTCAGGGGGTGTCGGGGTTTGAGATCCAAAATTAAATTAGTTAAATTATATAAATAATAAATCGGTAACTTATACGAAAATATTAGTACACTGTACTACGAGTACCCCCGTATTATGTTTACAAGAAGGTATACCTCTCTACGGGACGCCCTTTTGTTAGAGAATAAATAAACAGTTTATTGTAAATATTAAAATGTGTTATGTAAATAGTTAGTTAGTTAAATAATGTGAACTTGTTAGTATTAAGTTAGTAATAGTTTTAATTGTTATGCTCAATACAATTGTTGTAATTTAGTTTTAAGTTTTCAGTACCTAATCTTATTATCGGTCAAAAAACCGAGTAGTTAAACTTGAATTTGTATGTATTATTTTCTAAAGTAGTACCGAAGTCGGTACTATACTAATTGTTAAAATATTTTGTTGTAAAAAACCAATATTTCGAAAAACCAATCAACCAGTACAAAAGTTGACTAAGGGCACACTTAAAACTATTTGATTATTTGACTGAGCTACTAGACTAAAAAAATATCTATCCCAAATGTCTTTTCCACTTAAAAATGTTAAAACACTATTTTATCTTAATTTTGCCATGTCACACATATGGTTGACTTTTTCCAACTTTGGGGAAAGACGAAGAGCGATATATAAGAGGGGGATGATTCAAAGCTGCGTAAGCGATTTGGGCAGTGAGTTTCCAGTTCTGGTTGCGTGCGGACGTTTTTCCAAAAACTCCGTTCTCTAATTCAAACTTGTGTGTAACGCCAGTTGTAGCCATCTTGTTTATTTGAATCCGACGCCGCGACATCGCGCCCTCTATCGTACAAACGTTTCAACTTTGTTTAAATTTCCCGCCGCGTGTACGTGCTGCCACCTGCTGGACAATCAATTCATTGCAGTGACATTTAATTTCAAAGCCTATCGCCGTGAGTGCTGACACCTGTTAGTAGTTGTGTAGTAACAGTGAACAAGTAGTTTATTAAGTTTATTATTAATCATTTGAGGATCGGAATCAACAAGTAGACCCGAAACTACAGGTATGCCAAGACATGTTATCATTGTAATTGTTTTTCCAACGTAAAGAGCGTAAGAGCCATTTCATAAATAAATTCATAAATAAAAATTAATTGAACCGGGATATCTACCTGCCTACAGTCAGATAAATCAGGTGACAACACTCTAGTACTACTGATGTTAAAATATTCCTTTTTCCACCAAATAAATACCACATCAGGCATATATTGACGGTATGATCTGCACCGGAAGTCAATACAACATTTTCTTTAAAGTATAGAGACACCTTGCATTATTAATTGCTTGCATGTATACTAAACGCTAGTTGTGAGGCTGTCAATATACTGTTTAATCTCGTGTAACCTGGGAGTGTGATAATATTACATTAAAAATACATCCTGTACCTTCCGATATCCTGTAGGCTCAGCGGAAAAGGTTATGCCCACCGATGCGAAAACCAACATTGAAACAATTCCCACCGAAAAGCTATAGGCAACCACATAAAAGAGCCAATCAAGGCAATCCTTCCCAATAAAAAAAAGAAAACTTCATAAATATTAACACACTTCCGCAGAGATTAGTGTTGATATATGGACTGATGAAAAGGTACTAATAAACACATACCTACTTCAACAACAAAATAAAAATAAAAAAAATAAATAAAGAAAAAAATAAACATAGGCAACACTCGATCGTAATGATCGATGATGACAAGATAAACAATAAAAGAGGCCCCAGCCCACGGTAAATCGAGAAACGACTTACACCCGTTTATCGATTTGACTTTTATAATAAAAAAAGGTTTTACCATAATCACCCCTCGTAAAGCACGGTAACTGTGACTTGATTTTATGACTCTCGGCAGGTTCCTCGTAACCCTCCGGCTTAAATACCGACTCGGACGCCAGGTCAACGAAATATTGGTTTCCGCCGTTGTTTTTGTTCTCTTTACTATAAATAAATAATATGGTTATAAATATTTGTTTGATTGTTTGTCACTCTTCCTACTTTATTATGACGAATCGGGGCTAGACGTATTCTAGGCCAAATTAAAGGTAAAAATAGGTATTAAAGGGTAAATTAATTAAACACAACGTAGACCGGGTCCTTTCCATTACAGAAATTGTTGCCTAGTGACCAGGATAATAAAGTTATTAAAAGGAAAAGTGACTGACATGAAAACAAAAATTAATTAGCCAATCCTTAATGACATTCATTGCAACGGTCTGAGCGCTCGAAAATTTACAGGTATCCAAGCCACGTCCGAAGAAAATGTGGTTATCGAAAACCCCGAGGAACCAGTCCCAGCGTGGTTCCGCATCTGGGAACATGGGATGCAACAACAGCTGATGCGAATGCAGCAGAGCAACCACGATGCCATCCTCAGCGCCGTCACCAGCCTACGTGACCCCGGTGCGACGCTAAGCGTCGTACATATGTTTGTGTAGTATTGTTTACAACATATTTACAGGGTTATGGTGGGGAATCCGCACATAAGTATAAAATTTGTATATAATATTAAAATAAAATAAATAATAACCAAGAAATTTTTTTTAATATTATCCTGTAATGTCATTTTAGTGAAAAAGGTAAGAAAGACATGCCGAAAATATAAAAAAAATCATCAAATACGTTTTTTTATTATTCGTCTTTATTTAACAAAAAAACAAAAAATACTTCTATAAAATTGTTGTTTCGAAAAAATTCAAGTTTGACATTTTTTTCGAAAATTACTTTAATTTTTTCTGCGTTTGTTTTCACTTCGTAATTTGTAAGATTTATATTGTATATTTTTTATTTTCCTCAATTAAATTCACACTTGATTACTTGCTTTATTAAACCTTGAAAATAATTTTTAGTTCAGACAAAATAAAATAACTAGTTAAAACCGTACAGTAGTTCATTTGAGTCACATTTTTTTCTATTTTCTTAACATGTAAATAATAAAACTCGTTGAGGAAGCACTTAAAAAGAGTTAGGATTTTTGCAATTTTTTTCTAGATTAAAATATTATTATTAAAGTAATCTTTTTAAATTTTGGCTTTGCATTATCCATTAAAGGTAAGTATAACTGTTTTTTATGTACCTATATAATATATGTAATTATTATCTGACTTGTCCTATACAATAATTAATTGTCTTTTGAATCAATAAATATATTATTATTATCAGGACCTACCTAATAAGGTATAAAAGATATAAGAATTACTAATACTAATAATAAAAAAATAAATGCTGCTTTATGGCAAATTTTAGAGATCGCCTTTAGGAGGACCAAGGCAAAATGGGGCATGTTTAGATAATGTAATTTTTTTTCACTTAACCAAAATAAACTTATGAAATTTAAGAAAACGTCACAACTTTACCAAATAAGACGTTTTTTTCAAATTGTTCGCATTTATATAAACCAAAAAAAGTATTTTTTCTACTCCCACCTTTAAAACGCCCTTTATCGTACATGTTTCCATGACACTAAGTGACCTTTTAAATACACAATGAAGTTGTGGCTTTATGGCGCTTTAGTCACGGGCTGAAGTTAGTTTTAAGTTAGTTGACAGTTGTCAAATGCCTTTATTGTAAAATAATACTAAATGTGAAAATTATATTATTATCTCAATACAAAAATACAAAAGTATTAAATAGTTTCTCAACGTCAATATTTGAAAAGTTTATACGAACATTGTACTGACCTTTTAATTTCGCCGGCAGTAAACTATAACTTAAATTCGGGCACGGACTCCACTGTAAAGTGCTCATAAAACATTTTCTTTACTCTCACTGTAAAAAACTGTCAATTTTCAAGAAATACATTTCGATTTAAAACCTTTATAATAATTATTGTGTTTATAAAATTTAAAAATTTGACATTTGACGGTGACACAGATTCCCCTATTTTTTCATAGATGGCGCTCTATACAAATTTTTGATTTAAATCATTTTAAGATAATAATAAGTATTTGTCGTAGAAAAAGTATAGTATGCACCTCGTTTATAAACTTTTCTATACACTCATTAATTTTAGCACTCGCTCGCAAGCTCGCTCGTGCCTAAATTAAATTCGTGTATAAAATGGCGTTTATCAAACTTGATAAATAATATACTATAACGTACCTAGCCTTCTATAAAATTGGTGATTCGGAAAAAATAAAAATACACCAGTTATTTAAAATAATAAAAAGATTTCTTAATACAAAATTAAAATTTAGAAATTGCAATGTTGCAATTGCAACATGTTAAATATCTCTGAAATTATTAACTTTAGGTATAGGGAATATTAAAATAAATCAAAAGTTTTTTAATTTACCATTTGAAATTGTAAAAACATACGTACCCTTTGTTAAATTTAAAATAAAAAAGTTATTAACCTTTCAAGTTAGCCCAATTTGCCCTGGGTTTTCTCAGTTAATTTGTTGAAGGATTTACATGGAATCTTTTAAACAAACCTAATAACAAAAAATTAATGACTCCGAAACTATTCGCTTTAGGTATAAGACATGGTCTAGCCATTTTACTTGGAATTTTATGTATAACTTAAAAATGTAAAAATATATGGAGCGTTCTATTTAAAATAACAAAGTTGATGCCACTTCCACGCTTTAAAAATTTCAAATCGATATCTTTTGCCGTTCCCCAGAAACTTTTAATGGACCACGAACGTGAAACACCCTGTGTAATTATTAAATAAAAAAGCTTATTATTTTCACGTTATAAATTCTCATTTTTGTTCGTTTGTAGGGGGCCTAGATTTTTAAACTTCCGTCACAAATATATTTTTTTGAAAGTTTGTTCAAAAAACTTTTTTTAACAACAAAACTTTCAACCTTGTGTATTTTTTAAAGTAATTTTTTATTTTTTCCTAAATTAATAAAAATAAACAACTTTATAAATACATACATTAGTTAAAAAAAATAAAAAAAAATTATCATATTTTGTACATAATGCATTTTGAATTTTAATCAATATTCCATTACAATTATTGTGGTTATTATTAGAAAACACCATTAATTTAAAACCAAAATTAACAAACATAAAGATAAATACTTTGTTTTAAAATTCAAATTTATTAGCGATAAATACATGACGGCAAAATAGGTTTTAAAATAGTTTAAAAATAGAGCAGTGCTTCGAATGATTTTTAAATTGTTTCGTGGAGTATTTTAAGCAAATATTTGCCACATTGTAATGTTTACCGTATAATCCGTCTAAATATTTAACAAATTATAATTTTACACTAAAATCTTTCTAGATAATTAAGCGTTCTTTTAACATAAGGTTCTCGAAAAAACAACACACATTCAGACGGTAGAAAGTGACGAATCGAGGCCTCGAAGTCTCCATATAAGTAAAAGATTTACCGAACGTGGGATGGTGACGTCGCAAGCGGTCTTACGGTCAAAACGGAGAACTTGAATGCTGTGTACCTACACGCCAGAACCACCGAGCGCAACTCTTCACTCACGACTGTACCGCGAACGCGAGAACACCACACAAATATTGTCAGTGTTAGTCTGATACTCGAACGAACGAAACGAACTTGTTAATTTTAGTGTTGTATTTATTTTCTTTGAAGTTTAAACCAAGTGCCTTAAAATGACTGTAAACAAGACTGGACAATCGTCGAAAAGCAAGAAAAAGTCCGAGAAGACCTCAAATGCTGCAAGCACTTCTACCACTGTAGCCTCCAGCACGTCAAAATCCACGAAAACCTCAAAAGTAGTCGGTTCTTCAAGCACGGTGGTGCAAAACACAGGCTGCGTATCAAAGTCTTCCTCCGCATCCAGTTTGCAAATCGCAGATGTGTCCCATTTGCCCATAAACGCGAACGTTGTTACTTACACTGTAACGGAGTCGTTACCGACAGGCGGTGGCGAAAAAATCACAACATACCAAGAGGGCGGGCCCACCTCCACAGAGTACAGGCATTTTGTAGCTCAAGATTCGTCTTCAAGTCACGCGACAAACATCCAACAAATTAGTTCGACCCTAAACGAATCCACATCGAATTTATCGCAAGGCTCAGGGTCCACCTACACAGTGACAGAACCAAGGGAAGAGTTGAAGTTGACGTACAACAAGAATGACTCTGGGTGGAACGGAAAATTTACACAAGAACAACCAACGAGAAAAAAATCAAAGAACCAGTTGGTTACCACGGATGGAGGTACGATTGTGGAGGAATCCTCGACAAGTACGTCCCATCAAAGTAGCTCGTCGGTCGCCAAAAGTTCCTCCAGCAGCTACATCATAGAAATCGTGGACGGAAAGGAGAGAATTGTGGACAAAAAACACCGCGAGTCGGCTCACGCCACAGCGAGCAGCAATGACGAGCACCTATCGACGAAATCGGGAACAAACGTTACTCCTGAAGTGCACTACAAACAGAAAGCTACGGATAGCTCTACGCACTTTGACACAGCGGTGCCGGAGTTACAGCAACCGAAATCGAAGAGTTCAGAGGCAGTCCGCGAGATTCACCAGGTAGGCGATGCACATTCCTCCACAGCCTATGTAACCCATGACAATAAAGACACAAAATCCATATCCGACAAAAATACCACGCAAAGCTTCTTGGATCTCGAAAAAACAGATACCGACATCAGGAACATAAACAAATCGAAACAAACGACCACAGACTCGAGTAAATTTTTCGGCGAAGACACCAAAACATCGAAGTCAAAAAGTGGTAAGTCGAAAACATCGAAGGATTTGGGCAGCACCAGTACAGTCACCACAACAACAACGTATTACGATTCCAAAGGCAACGTTATCAAGACCTTGACCGACGTTGATAAACAAGACATTCCCGGCGGCGAAAAAACAGTCACTTACGTGGATTCTAGTGACATTACTGATAAACGAAAAACTAATTTGCTGTCCGACACGAGGGATTTTGCTGGGTCATCGGAAACCGTAATTTTGGAAAGCAGCAAATTTTTCCACGACAAAAACGTAAGTGATTTTTCCAAATCTGACCTAAATATTGATACGTGCACAACAAAGACAACCTACGATGACAATCATGTTGATACCGCAAAAATACGAAATTCGCAGACTAGTACTGACACGAAAAACTTTTATGGACACGGTATGGATTCGAAAAACACATTGGTCACAAATGTGTATGACAGCAAGGCCGTGCAAAACACCATTGGATCCACAAGCACAGTTATTATGGATGACACCATCGACACGACAAATCTTGTTTATTCGAACGACCGCAACTATGGAAAAACCGGATGGAATGGTCAATTCAACCAAGAAACTACACCTACCACAGGAAAACCTGGAAGATCACCCTCCCCATCCAAAAAACGTCCAGAGTCTCCTTCAAGAAGTACCACCACCAGATACGTTGATGAAAACTCAAAAATCCGAAGTACAAACACTACAACCGATAGCAAAAGCTTTTACGGACATTCTACCGATTCTAAAAACACCTTGGTGACAAACGTCTATGACACCAAAGCGGTACAAAACACCATCGGATCAGGAACATTGATTAAAGATGACTTAATTGAATCCAAGGATGTTATATATTCCCACGATAGAAACTATGGGAAGACTGGTTGGAATGGAGCTTTCACCTACGAACAACCAAGCCAACCTAAAAAGGATGGACCGGGAACCTCACAACAACCACAAAGAGAAGTGTCACCGTCTAGAAAGCCAGGTAGAAAGGATTCGTCCCCAAAATACGACCACCCTGCTGGAAAACCCTCAGGAGGACGTGATCCAGTTCCAAAGTACGATCAACCGGCCGGCAAACCGTCCAGACCCGAATCATCGCCAAAACAAAACCGACCTGCAGCTGGTATGCCTTCTGGGGGACGTGATCCCTCACCAGCTGCACCATCAACACGTGACTCAAAATCACCAACCCGTAGACAAGAATCTCCATCTAGAAGACCAAGTTCCCCATCCAAAAGGACCACATATTATGTGGACGACAATTTCGTGGATACTTCCAAAATTCGCAGCTCGCAGACAACAACCGATAGCAAAAGCTTCTACGGACATTCTACTGATTCTAAAAACACCTTGGTGACAAACGTCTATGACACCAAAGCGGTACAAAACACTATCGGATCAGGAACACTGATTAAAGATGACCTAATTGAATCCAAGGATGTTATATATTCCCACGATAGAAACTATGGTAAGACTGGTTGGAATGGAGGTTTCACCTACGAACAACCAAGCCAACCTAAAAAGGATGGGCCTGGAACACCACAACAACCACAAAGAGAAATGTCGCCGTCTAGGAAGCCAAAATACGACCATCCTGCTGGAAAACCCTCAGGAGGGCGTGATCCAGTTCCAAAGTACGATCAACCGGCCGGCAAACCGTCCAGACCCGAATCATCGCCAAAACAAAACCGACCTGCAGCTGGTATGCCTTCTGGGGGACGTGATCCCATACCATCTGCACAATCAACACGTGACTCCAAATCACCAACCCGCAGACCAGAATCTCCATCCAGAAGACCAAGTTCCCCATCCAAAAGGACGACATATTATGTAGACGACAATTTCGTGGATACTTCCAAAATTCGCAGCTCGCAGACAACAACCGATAGCAAAAGCTTCTACGGACACTCTACCGATTCTAAAAACACCATGGTGACAAACGTTTACGACACCAAAGCTGTCCAAAACACAATCGGTTCGGGAACTTTAATCAAAGACGACATCATCGAATCCAAAGATGTTATCTATTCGTACGACAGAAATTATGGCAAAACCGGATGGAATGGTGGCTTCACCTACGAACAACCATCGCAACCCAAAAAAGACGAACCTGAAACTCCAAAGACTCCAAAACGAGGCGAATCTCCTTCGAGGAAGCCAGGCAAAAAAGATACCACTCCGAAATATGACCATCCCGCTGGAAAGCCTTCTGGCGGTCGTGATCCTGTACCAAAACATGATCAACCAGCTGGCAAGCCATCCAGACCTGAGTCATCGTCACCAAAACACGATCATCCTGCTGGAAAACCTTCTGGCGGTCGTGATCCTGTGCCAAAACATGATCAACCAGCTGGCAAGCCATCCAGACCTGAGTCATCTCCAAAAAAAGTATATGACCATCCAGCTGGAAAACCTTCTGGAGGGCGTGATCCTGTACCAAAACAAGACCAACCTGCCGGTAAACCAACCAGAAAATCTCCTACTAAAGATGATAACAAACCAACTCAAAAAGTTCAGGAATTCTTGCTTACTGAAATCAGCGAGAATATTACTCAGGCTACAGACAAATACCCAAAATCTGGACCGTTGGATAAAACTGGCCCTATAGACAGCACAACAAGCATAAACACTTTTGAAAGCACATCGGTGAATCAATTTTCAGACACGAAATCCCGAATTTACAAGGATTCACAAGTATTTGTGGATAACGTTGTAACGGAAACCTACACCATCCTGGATTCTTCCGGGAAACCGATCAGAACTGAAACCAAAACATTTAAACAACCAGGTCAACCTACAGATGTAAGAACAACTGACGTCTTTGAATCCATTACCGACATCAAAGACTCAAAAACCAACATCAAAGACTCGAAGACATTAATCGATAGCACCACCATGAGTCCGTTTGATAGGAGACCAAAAATACCTACGGATTCTCACACGACCATGGAAAGTTTTGAGTCGGTCACCAACGTTTCCGACTCGAAAACCACGGTCGTAAAGGATTCTCAGACGTTTGTCGACAACAAAAGTTCAGTGGAGCATTACACCACCACTGAAAGCTATGACAGTTCCAAACCAAAAGGGCCAAAACCTGTTGAAGAGAAACCTGGGAAAAAAGGGCCAAAAAAGCCTACAGATAAGAAAGGGCCAAAAGAACCAAAGGATGTAACTACAGTTGATAAGTTTGATATCACTGATGTGAAAACCAGTGTTACTGATGTAACAAACACCTTTGTGGATAAAAAGGTTATTTCGACAACTGATATCACAGATGTAAAGGATACAGTGATAAACAAATTCACTGACATTAAAAACGTGGACGTTGTGGATAAATACAGCAAAACCGTTATAAACGAGAACATCGTCGACATCAAGGAAATTGTAAGTTTTATTTTTGTTTATTATTTATAACGTCGTTGATAACAACCTAATTTTAGAACGAAGTCGAAGATATTACCAACATCACCAAACATACCGACAATAAGGTGATTAATATTGTGAAAACCATTAAAGAGCCCGCCCCTACACCCCATTATAAGCCACCGAAAAAAGAACAATGCATCTGTGAACTTTGCACCTGTGGGTAAGTGGAATTAATTTTTTAAATCCTTAGGTGTAAGTATGTAACTAAAAATAAATACTGAAAGATCAAACCTATTTATACCACATTGTATAAAAATAAATAAAAGATGTGCAAAATTCGTGGTATGATGACACATGTAAACAAATAGTTTTAAAAAGAAAACACATTTAAAATGTTATCAATTAATTTAAGTTTAATGGGACCACAAGTGTATCTTACTTGTAACCTCTAATATTTTGCGGTTTTTAAAAATGTTTTACAAAATTAATATTAATTTAAACGAAACTGATTCCATGAATAAGTCCAGTCAACGTTACATAAGTAAATGACGATGACATCATTTACAAATATAAGCACATTATTTGCCAATTTGGTATTCATAAACCAAGAACCTGTTTTCTCCGTATAGAAGCATACTAAACAACATTACGGTTTTAAGTGTTACGCTGTTATATGAACTGAAAAGAGATTTAATATTTGATTTTTTGATAAACACAATTTAAGCCTTTGTTTATTAATTAATTAGACGGGTGATAAAGAAAAACGTCTACCATATAATATTTAACAATAGTTTACTGTTGTCCTGACACTTAAAAAATAGCTTGTTATAAAAAGAGATTCATGTAAGAAATAAAGTCTTTTTGGTTTAAAACAATTATATTAAAATCAAATAGTTCAACAATAACAACGTATGTCTTAATTTATCGAGTGCTTCTTAAAGAGTGCCGCTTATATTTTTAAGCAACTGTGTGCTCCTCTAAAACGCTGACGAAGACCATCCAGCTTCCACGTGCCAACCTTGTGATCCTGGGTCGCACACAAAGACCGTACAGTCGGCGTAGGCTGGGATGTTTATACTTATATATTACGAGTCAGCCACGGAATATTTCTAACATTCGGCCATCCTAACATGCGGGATGTCCCAGACCGCCTCTTAACTACCTGTCAAAACAAACATAATAACTTCCGAAAACAATTAGACAGTGTCGGACTAAATTGTTATCTCAACTCGAAATGACTAAATTACTAATTCCGATAACAACTAAGCAGTATCGGCTTCAATTGTTATCTCACAATAAGTAGGCAGTATCGGCCTAATTATCCACTCCGATAACAAATAAGCGGTATCGGCTTCAATTGTTATCTCAGAATAAGTAGGCAGTATCGGCCTAAATATCCACTCCGACAACAATTAAGCAGTATCGGCTTCAATTGTTATCTCAGAATAAGTAGGCAGTATCGGCCTAAATATCCAATCCGACAACAATTAAGCAGTATCGGCTTCAATTGTTATCTCAGAATAAGTAGGCAGTATCGGCCTAAATATCCAATCCGACAACAATTAAGCAGTATCGGCTTCAATTGTTATCTCAGAATAAGTAGGCAGTATCGGCCTAAATATTCTCCCGACGACAAATAAGCAGTATCGGCTTAAATTGTCATCTCAATTCCGAATAAGTAGGCAGTATCGGCCTAAATATTCTCCCGACGACAAATAAGCAGTATCGGCTTAAATTGTCATCTCAATTCCGAATAAGTAGGCAGTATCGGCCTAAATATTCTCCCGACGACAAATAAGCAGTATCGGCTTAAATTGTCATCTCAATTCCGAATAAGTAGGCAGTATCGGCCTAAATATTCTCCCGACGACAAATAAGCAGTATCGGCTTAAATTGTCATCTCAATTCCGAATAAGTAGGCAGTATCGGCCTAAATATTCTCCCGACGACAAATAAGCAGTATCGGCTTAAATTGTCATCTCAATTCCGAATAAGTAGGCAGTATCGGCCTAAATATTCTCCCGACGACAAATAAGCAGTATCGGCTTAAATTGTCATCTCAATTCCGAATAAGTAGGCAGTATCGGCCTAAATATTCTCCCGACGACAAATAAGCAGTATCGGCTTAAATTGTTATCTCAACCTAAAAATAAGTACATAGTATTCTAATCATCGTTAACCACTGTTTCATCTTATCAGTCGCTACTACCATACAAAAGTTTTTGCCGTTAAAACTTTAATGGTCCTCTATATTTGTGGAACAACTTTTTGGTGGACCCGGTAGAAATTTCACTTATTAATACGCGTCTAAGTCACCCACTTCAAAACGTGATGATTTACATCGACACTTATCGTAACGTTCCTTCTGCTTGCGCTGGTCATGGTTAATGTGATGTTTACTTTATCTTAATTAAACGCAGCACTAAGAAAACTTTGGATTTCTTTTATAAATGGGTTGCGTATGATTCACAAAATAGACCAAATGTCTTCAACGTAATGGCACTTGCACGATCGCTGATAATTCGCGGCAGTACACCGAATATACAGTGTATTCTATACACATAATATCCTTTTTGATAGATTGCTGTTGACGGTTTCACAACACCTCAATAGTTTTTCACAAACTTGCAACAGTACCTTGCCAACTTGAAAACTTGCCTTTTTTCTTTAACTGTCTTTGGTTTCGCTCAATCTCAACTCTAGTTAGGACATTCCCTTGCACGGTGAGGTCCTCTACAATTGAAACACTTAACTTGTTTTTGCTGAGTTCCACTAGTAGTCGCTTTTTGTTCTTGAAATTCTTCTTCGACTCTAGATGCTTTACGACCCCCGTCACTCTTAAAACTTTTTGGCATGTTGCCCAGCGAACTTAAATAAGCATACAATTCATTTGTACTATTAAAGCGCGAGGAACGAACGGATCTTGCGATATTTTCGTCTGTTATACCTCCGATAACAGCATCTACTAAATAAACTTCAGGAATTTTAATTTTTAAAGCTCTTAGCTTGTCCAACTTGTTAAAACAATATTCGCTAAAATTTTGATTACTTTGCGTTTCGTATGTGGCAGCATCTCTTAGCAATTTGGAAAATGGTAAAGGTTTAGTAAATTGCTTTACCAACAACTTCTTCATTTTCTTCCACTTCACCGCTAACTGCTCCTGTGAATCGTACCATCTTCGAGCCATACCCACTAATCGATTTGTCACTAATCTAATTATTGTCAAATCATCCCATTTATAACACTTAACGAGTTCATCAACACGGCGCACCCAAATTTCGATTGATTGGTCTGCCTTTTGCGGGTCAAACACGGGGATCATCTTTTCTTCTCCGTAGTTACTCGTACCGAAGAAATGTACATTACCCCTAATTGCCCGTCGCTTCTTCTGTCTCCTCGATGTCTCCTGCTCGTCATCGCTAGAACTGCTCGATGTATTCGATAAGGGACTTCTCTTGCGTCGAGCCTTTGTTTTCACTTTCTTCTGTTTCTTCTGTGGTGTAGATGGTCTAACATCGGAAGAATCGCTTGAAGATTCAGAGACAGGAACACTCATTGATGGGGACACTGGCGGAGTGGTTCCGTCGAGTTTCGACATAATAATGCAACACTTCGCAACACTTAAAACTCTTGTAGGGTTAACGTGTAGATATATCCCACTTCTGATTTGTAAGAAATAAAGTCTTTTTGGTTTAAAACAATTATATTAAAATCAAATAGTTCAACAATAACAACGTATGTCTTAATTTATCGAGTGCTTCTTAAAGAGTGCCGCTTATATTTTTAAGCAACTGTGTGCTCCTCTAAAACGCTGACGAAGACCATCCAGCTTCCACGTGCCAACCTTGTGATCCTGGGTCGCACACAAAGACCGTACAGTCGGCGTAGGCTGGGATGTTTATACTTATATATTACGAGTCAGCCACGGAATATTTCTAACATTCACCTATTTATTTTGCAATAAAAAGTTCATTCACTTTTGACTTTTTACCTATTGTAATAATATAATAATAACCCTATTTAGCAGTCAAATAATAATTTAAAGAAGCTGTTTTTGAATTTATATTATTTCCCAACAATGATTAAAATTTATACAGAGGGATATACGCTTCGGTGACCAGCTACTACATTATTTTGTTATGTAACAAGTCTACAAAGCATTTAGACGCCTACCGTTTGGTAAAATAAAAACTACTTTCAAGAAATATAAAATATTATTCGTAGAATTTAATATGCAACTAATCGCTGTTAATATTTGCACTTTAAATAGCATGTTCTACAAGAAGTAGGACATTATAGGAAATGTAATTATGTTGTTACTTAATTAGCTGGTATTAAGTTTAATTAAAGACTTTAAAGAAATATGAATGATATTGCCCAAAATATGTCAGTAACTCTATAAATGCTTTTGTGAAGGTCAGTGCCATTTAATAAAAAAATCAGTTTTGTTCGATTTCGAGAATTTTGGCACAAGCATTTCTAATTTGCTCAATCATATTTTCACGGGTTGTTGGTAGGTACTTGTTAAACACTTTAGCTTGTACTTTAAGAGAAACACTTAAGTTAACTTAATCATATACTGTGTTTGTTTGGTTTATTACTAATTTTACTTTAGTGTACAGTAAAACAAAATAAAAGCGTGAAAGGGGCTTTATAACACAGTACGACAAAATTTGATTTTTTTTTTAAACTTAAAAAAATGATACCCGTGTCTCGGCGTTTTTTCAGATCACGTCATTTTTTTTATGTGCGATCCAATAAAATGTTATCCACGGTATTCGGCACATAATAATAAAATTTGACGGTTAATTTTGTTTTAATTGGACGTTTATTAAAAATATGTATGCACACTTTCAATTCTCCAATTAAAACTTGCGATTTTATTTAAATATTATCTTAATTTTTTAAATCAGATTAAAGATTAGTTAATTTCCTAAAAAAAGGTCTATACATTTTTTATATCTTTTACTGTTTTGTTGTAATACGCGTTTAAAGTTTTAATTTAAGGTTAAATGTATAGTATACATTTATTAAACAATAATTCTAAGGGTGCCACATTTTATTTAGGGCCGATTTATTCATTTTTGATTTATTTGACGAATAATTTCTTTGGATACTAGATATTGCCAAGACATGAAAGTTATCGGCCCGATAAACTTTACTAAAGATGAATAAACCGGTCCTTAGTTAAATTTCATGAATTTCTTCGTAACTTTTAC